CACGGACAAAGTCACCTTTAGTGTCCGATCATGTCACGACCTTATTTCCACCAAAAAGCTCACCGCTGCGTATCTCAAGCGCCCCTCCACGAATTAAACATCAAGAGAGCACCATCAATAGCATGAATGCGCATGTGCACAGAATTTTAAGCGCTCACAAAGACCAAACGTCTCGTCCCCAATCTTCGCCGGTCATAACCTCTCAAAGAACACGAAGGCGGGCAGATTATGACGTGCCACCAACAGACATCGACGGTGATCTTAGATCTAGCATGATTATCACCAAATTCACGCGGTCACCTTCCAAACCTTCATCATTCTCAGAAAGTAGACATTCTCGGGTCATTACGCGAAGTCGCTCAGCACCCGCGTATCGAACTCAAGTTTTACCTCCAGGGAAACGGGGTTGGACTACATCTGCCGCGGAGCCCCTCAAAGTGCCTGAGAATAAGATCATGGTGAGCGCACAGCAAGCGCGGGAAAAGATCGCTAAGATGCGACCTCACAGTGCGCAAGTACATTCGAACAAAGAATCCATTTCGCTCAATCCAGTCAAGAGTCTGTCTTGCTTAAATTTAAAGACATACAGCAATCAGTTGCAGTTTGAGCAGAACTTACAACAAGGTTCATCGCGTGACAAATTAAGTCGCGTGACACTTGACGGAGCTCACCGTCCAAAATCGTGCAATCCTTGCGTAAGATAACGCAATACACCTAGCCACCTGATAAGGTCAAAAGATGACATCTACTTCCCTAAGTTTCGCTTGGTCACACAAGAAAGGTGCAAGCAATGAGCGCTCGAGATGGACGTGACAATAATCCGACCACGATTTCCGGTTAATAGACCAGTATATCCTGTATTTTTCCAACCCGTTCACTCCTGACATCAAAATATCAATTGTCTATACTATACTATGCATTTCTCACCAGATTAACCCTGAGAATTTGGTTTTTAAATCAAACAATATCTCTCCTCTCATTACCTTTTTCCCTTTAGATTTCTTGACAGTATAGGGAGGAACTCCTCTTTTGTCGCTCCTGAGAGTGAAAAGCTTGATTCTCATCACCTGTCCACTCGATAATGGTATTAATAATGTAAGGAGAAATTGCCTTTTGGTCACTTGGGAGAGAAAGAGTTCGATGGGAACTGCCATCGTTCCCACTGGTAGGGGACCAGTTATGTGTATAAATATTAGTTTTATATTATTTATTTAAAATTAATTATTTTAACGAAAGGCCGCGCAACTTAAGAGACCTGAACAGAATAGAAAAATATCTGACTTCAATAACGTAACGCATTTGCAAATTAAAAAATCGCCTTTAGTACGGTAAAGAGAGAGTTTTAATATTATTTGGTTTAGATCAGAAGAAATTGAAGTTATTTAGGAATAAAGATTTATTTCAATTTAGTGAATGTCTGTTAATTAAGGCTCAAAGACTCTTGGAAGAAATGAGAACGACACGTCAAACTATTCACTCCGTAGTTCTTCCTCAGGTGTCTCCTATTTTTAAGACGCGGCTACGAGGTCGCGAGGGACTAGCACTACCACAACAAAAGGAACGATGGGAAGGAAGAAGATAAAGAGAGAAGAGAGTTCCCACCTTCCACGAGCGTACTTTCGCGCGCTTTCCTCGTTTATATTTGTTAGCAGAGGTAAAGATCAGTTGAGAACCATCGGCAGACACTGATATCAACAATGTATTTAATTTTTCTTCCTTTCACCCTGTACATTCGCGTGATTCGCGCCTAGCCTACGTCTCTCTCCGTATGCTAAAAGGAAATGGAAAAGACTTAGATGCGAGCTTACAAAGGCACATGGAATTACTACAGTTTTATAGGTCTTTAGACTCAATATGGTTTATCCGATCATTTTCTTCTAATGTCATTCAGTTCTTGCGAGAACAATAAGCTGTTTAAATTCATTTTGGCCTCTGCAAGATTGTACCCATCATAATTGGTATTTTGCTTCTTGATTGATGACAATAAACTCAAGCATCGGTTGCAATTCGAAAAGTTGCCAATCGCAAAAGTAGCACTTTTGATATCAGTTGGCACGGGTCCTAAGTGGAGTTCAGACAAGCGAACTCCCATCGGCTGATATCATGAACAACTTTTCTAGTGAACTGTTTCTAAATTTTATCGGACCTGCCTACGAAGTTAAAGATCTTCGTTCGACTTTCATTGCTAACTGTGTCTTCAACAATTTTCTATACCTCCATTATGTTGAACATTGTTACAGTCTTTGCTATACGAAAGACATCTTCGTTACCAAAGACTTTGGAAACATTGTTGAAAAGTCTCGCTGTTTCAGATGTTGAGGTTGGTTGGTTTGTTCACCCAATTTACACTTTACTTCTGGTCAGCTTCTTACGAGAGAACAACATTATCTCTCTCACCTAAGCTATGTTCCTCGTCTTTACTCGGTTATTTGCTTCAGCTCCGTTCCCGAGTGTGGTAGCTGTAAGTGTAGACAGGTTCTTAGCTGTTCACTTCAAATCAGATACCAGCAAATTGTGACTTACAAACGTGATTTTGCTTCTGTGATCTCAGCGTGGGTATCATGTGCATTTGTGTTTGCATTAGCACTGTTGATTCTCCATGATACGCAAACGTTAATTACCAACACCGCAAGAGGAATTGGCCTCGAGTTATAGTGATTTATAGCAGTATCCTCTTAACTGCCAGACGTCACAAAAGAGAAATGTGGGCTTCGCGAGAACATCGAAAAACTCAGAGTTATAACAGGGCAAATTTTGCAAGCTTGATTAAGTTAACAGTCGGTGTATTTTACAAGTTTGTTTTTTTTTTCATTTTGAGCCGTGTTTAACCCAACAGCTTTAGAATGTGTTTTAGCTTTGGTGAGAACGAAATACAAAATTCTTAAAAGCCTCAGCTCAAGTTATGTATGGTTATCTAAGGTCATGTAGTTGTCTGAAAAATGAGTTCGTTAGAACAGATGACGAAAATTCTATGAATAAATTTGTATATACCTAAAAGAGTAAGCGCAGTTACTTCTCAGAATTTTGGAGGAAATTCGGCATAACAAGCTTTTAAATTCATTCTCCTTGTCTAAACATACGTTTAAATATGTTGTTTAATATACTGATTGATATTTTTTTTATACTCTGTGAAGCTATAACAATAACAATTTGGTATGTAAAACAAAATAGAAGGATATGGAAACAATTTACACAGGACATATGAAACGTGCCGCTTTTGTGATTGGCAACTTTCGAATTGCAACTGATGCCTGAGTTGGATGCCGTCCTGCGGAGGCCAAAATGAAGTTATACACTTTATTGCTCTCACTTTAACTGAATGGTAAAAAGACGAACATGATCAGCGATCATTTATTCGGAATAAATGTCGACAAACCACAGTATATTTCTCTGAGCCTCTTTCATAGGCTTGCATGGCAGTCTTTTCCATTTCCTTTCAGCAGATGGAGAGAAGCGTAGGCTAGGCGGAAGTCACGCGAATGCGTATGGTGAAACGGAAGAATAATAAAAATTGTCCGCCTATGGTACCCCACTGATCCGATACGGCTATTTCTAATTTTTAGCTCCTGTGGAAATGCATAGTTATTTTTTTCGCTCTGAAAATGAATGACTTTTAATTTATATCAATAGACAGCTGGCGGGGTTCACGGGCATCCTTCATTCGTAAACTCGAGCATCGTTCGTCGATTGTTGAAAATTCAATGTCTCGAAATTTTATACGTTATGGGATCTTAGCCACGATCGCAATTTAAACTTGGGACGTTTAAATTTCACGCACTTAAATTTTCCTTAACAGTGATAGGGAACTCTAGAAGTCTCCAGATGTCTCAACCCACTGCTATGGAAACCCACATTACCTGTGTTAAGGCCGGGAGCAGACCAAAATTCATCTTTGACACCTCTCTTTAACATATTCATAGATACTATTCCTACATACATATTCATGCGTGGTAAAAAATGTTCTTAAGCGTTTCTGTTTGATATTTGCTGTGTTTATTTCCCCTCCATGATACGGTGAGGATTTTAAGATGCTGGGTAACTTTTTCATTTGGTTTTCTCTTTCTTTGACTTTCGTAAGCTCAAAATTACCGAAAACACTGAAATTTATTCGAAGCTGGAAATTGTTCCTGCCATGGGCACAGAACCATTTTACATAGGTTGGTGTGCTGCGTTTGGAAAACAAATCAATCAGAACAATAATTACCTTAGTTACAATGCATCATACTGACCGAGAAAGATTCATTAACAATCTTCATGTACAACTGGGTTTACCAATTCACCTCATTAGTCTTATACTTTGCATTTTATTTGAGTTAAAATATCTACAGCATATGGTTTTCTGCTTTCCTATTAATTTCCCATTCACTGTGAGTTTAAAGCTGATTGCACTGCCCAATTTCTACCAGTTATTTTGAAAATACTTACTGTTTTTAACTTATCTCCTATCACCTTTCTTTTCGTTACCCTTAGTAAATGGCAACTCTAACTCTCTTGATATGATTACCAATCCTTTAAGCTAACCGTTACATATTTCGTTGTCGATAATTAGTGACAAGCTTTTCGTCTTAAATCAAGAAAACACTCTTGATGATACTGTCGTTTTTTCCTCGTCACCTAGTTTCTAGCTATTTTCGTACAAGTCCATCGCGTCTGTGATTCCACGCGTTAAAGGTGTTGAAAAAGAGTTACAAAATGTATCAGTTTACCTAAGAGACCAGTCGTGATCATTTTATCGCCTGGAAGGAAGTAGGGAGGGGATGTTGGGATCACATGGTTTTCAGGGGGGACGGAAGGGGGATCAGTCGTCGCCAACAGAGTAAAAAGGGGGGAAATGGAAACTTGATTGCTGACTGACTGCCAGTGAGTGGGGGATCACAAGAATATTACAAAGCTTTAAGGGGGGATCAGGTAAATTTTATCGGGAAATAACAAAAATCCTCCGCCGCCTCCCCCCCCCCTCCGGAGATAAATGATGACCGTTCCCTGAGGGCCAGAAAAACCTATTTGGTTTTTTTCTCTCTTTTCGAGCAAGAAAACAGCGAAGCGAGATTCCTCCTGAACTGTTGACTATGCAAGGTGTATAACAGTGGATTGAGACAGGAATTCAACAGCGCACTCGCTTCCGCCACTTTATCCACTGTGACACGATGACCAGGAACCAACGGGGTCAGCGCACAGAGGACTGCAGAAGGCGTCCAGCAAAGGACGAAGATAACAGACACCAAAATGAGCATCCTAGTTACCTTATGCCTGGAGCGTAAGACCTTAGTTTGAGAGGAGGCTGAGACCAGGGAACGTTCGCGGAGACACAGAACAATTCTTGTGTATAGGTATCCCATGATGCATATCGGCAGAAACTCGTTGCAACATGACCAAATAAGGTGATAAAATCGGGACGTCAAGTAATTTGGGAAGACTATCTCGCACGCTTGAATTTCTTTCTGGTAAATAAACAATAATACCATTGGCGCGGCCAGAAGGATTGCCACGATCCAGAGCACTGGAACAAGCCTTAAGGAACGACCACGAGAAAGCATTTTTAGAGGATGTAACGTGGCGTGATAGCGCTCAAATGCTATCAACACCAGCAAAAAGCTCGAGGCTGAAGCCGAAGCCCAACCAAAGGCCCCACCCATCAGGAACTTGCACAGCATATCTCCAACGATACCACTTGGCAACTTGATAAAATGGCTCAGAATGCAAGGTGTGAAAAATACTGCAACAAGTACGTCGGCAATGGCCAGGTAAAACAGAAGCCAGTTGATCGAGGTTCTCATGGCTTTATTCTTTAGTACAACAATGCAGACCATTGAATTACCTACCATGTTGAATAGTATCATGGCCCCAAGAAAGATGGCATACACCACAGAGCTCATAGACGTTGACATCTTTCAATACCAAAATCAAATTTTACCCGTGGAGCAGCAGTTCTCTGTTTAAAAAATGTTAGAATAATAAACTTAGGCAAAACGATGGTATGCCTCTTTTATCACTGCCGTGTTCGCTCGAAGACGCTTCGCACTTTCTCTCAAAGATATCAACGTACCTGAAATGTGGCCTAAGTTAGGAATTTGTCATAAACTCCTGAGGGAGTGATGGGCTTCTGTTTTGATTAATGCTGAGATCAAGGCTTTCAAGATTTTGCTTCTCTTAGCCGACAAGGGCACGGTTGATACTACGGATCTGGAAAAAAGTTTCCTAAACCGTGTGTTTTTAAGGAAAGAGCTACAAAATTCTCAACTGTGTCCAGAGTCACATCTCAAAGCTCTTGGTTTAAATCAATTTCTGTTGGCTGCCAGGTCGAAAAAATGAAAAAAAGTGTAACAAAATGATGTAAAGAAAAACAAGTAGCGAGTGAGCTTTACAGGAGATTCCATCAGTACAACGTCAAAACAATTTAAGCTTTTTTCTGCGTGCCATCTTTTCCAGCACTAAAACTTATGGTATAAGAGGTAGAAAATACGGTGCCGTTCAACTCGTATCGCGATAACTTTCCTTATCCTTTCGGGAAGCTTTTACAAAGCAAGTCTGATTTGCCCTAGAAAAGCAAATTGATGCCCCTAAGAAACTGCAATAGATCGTAAACATCTTTGAATTAAACGTAAGTTTTTTTTTTGCATTTTATAAGTCATCCCAGAACTAATATCTAACTGAAGAAAGGTTATTTATACGTTTTAAGAAAGGAAGTCATGGATAAAGGAAACTTACGGAAGGTTACAATCTTGGATGTGGTAGTCTCCGTCAACCCATCACTTTAGTTTTAAATGTTATGATGATGTTATATATCTTACTTGACGATTGAAAAGTCACCCACAGTCACTTTTTATTTGACGGTCTTTTTAGCGGAAAAGATTGCTTTTGTTACAGTTTAGGAAAATTAATGCAAAGAAAATGACCACTTGCCAATACAAGCTGTAAACCACCTTGACCATCCTGAGCTCCTAAAATACTTTTTTATTCCACGCGAAAAGTTTGAAATCGTGAACATTAGATCAATAAAAAGCAAAACTCGAGATGGCTGGCTGGGTGCAAAGTGAAAAATGTCGAGTCAAGTCAAGTCCACTCTGTTACTATTTAGAGCGATCACAACGTAGTGGACAAAATAATTAAGTGAAGTCTCCTACTCTACAGAAGCGTATTTGAATGTTGTGAAACCAAAACCAGAATAATTACAGCGTCCATTTGGAATACAGGAATAATGAAAGGATCATTATGTTAATGATCTACTCTGATTGCTTACATAGAGTAGAGAAATCAGTCCAAGAACAATGGCTTGCCCGACTAATATGTTTTGGTTGGTTTCAGATCTGTATGTCATCATAAACCAACATATCTAATGTAAGGATGACAACGACTAAGCCCTCTTTGTAAAGACTTGTTCAAATCATGCACCAAACTATTGGTGTCATATGAGTAAAGACCACCAACATCGAGAGGTCGTTGTCAATTTAAAAGCAATGAAAGATCATTCGCAATATTTGCGTCAGATAAACCAATGAGTGTTTGATATTTTAAAAAAACACACACACTTAAATACACAACAAAACACCTATATGCTTACAACACAATATGAAAAAACACAAAATTATCCAAAAATTTCAACAAAACAGTATTCTGACACAACACAAGCTGAACAACACTCACACGGACACATACGCACGACAACAACGCCATATTGGATTTGAATTATGCGTAACACTGGTAATCAGTAAACTACACTCGTATCCAGTCGTCTTGAATACCTCCTAAGAACGCCTAGTTGATTTTTTCCTCTTCGGTGGACATTTTTCATCATCTTTCTTAATGCAAGTTGAGCGAGTTTTTTCTTTTAAAGACGAATTAAATAGCGATAAAATAGAAGTGCGGATACCTGAGGTAAAGATCAGTGAAGTTCTTGTTTATATTTTTATTATATAGTTTATGCTTTTCCAACACAGCTGTAGTCGATGTCAGCCTAATTTAGATGAAATTCCTTTCAACACATTTAGATTGTGGACCCTCAGTATGGAATGTTTACGTGGCCAGCAGCTCCAGTTCTTGCACAATATATTTGGTATAATAGAGATCAAGTAGAAGGAAAACACGTTGTGGAGGTAAATTTTAACTACCAAATTCACTGAACTAACATCATAAGAATTGTACAGCGGACAGGGTAAGGGAGAATTACTAACAAGATCTCAGAGGTGAAAGGGTTACATATTCATGGTCAGTAAGGATCTATACTTGATAAAAAATTTTTGATAAGATAATTTGTTGATGTTGGCAAGAGCAACACAATAGTGAGTTATAATGAAGTTATATGTCAATTTTCAGTGCAACTTCAGAAATTCAAGTATGGTCCTGAAGATCAGTATTGAATTTCTGAACACAAACAAAGCTCACAGGACAGTACTAGAATGAGAATTTTGATAATACTCCAGACTGGATGTGAAAGTGAAATAATGGAAGATTACTGTCCCTTTATTAAAACTTAAGCTATGCAAAACCTCAAAAAAAGTATGACATAACCCTTTAACTCCCAGAAGTGACTGAGACAGAATTTCTCCTTACAATATTGGAAAAAGGGTAAAAGGTTTTAAATAAAAAAAATATTAATTCAGATATTATCAGTTGATCTTACAATACCAAATTTTCCAAACTAACATCATCAGAATTCTGATCAACAGTAAAAAGAATTAATGAGTATATAGGCATAAGAGGGTTAAATTAGTCCAGACACATGTAAAATGTAGGACATGCGCGATTTCTGTGGAGCGTATTTAAGGCAAGCAGAGCTACATGCTACTTGCCCTGTAGGCATGTCCTTTATGAGAAAATCATACTCTTCTGAAAAATGACTGTTTTGTAAGCTGGACAAGTCTGCATCCACTGTTAGTGATTACCTTTTCTTTACTTGATCAACAGATTGGTGCAGGAACAGCCTTACCTGGTTTGGTTGCCTCATTGTGTGGTGCAAATGTTACTCTGACAGACAAGGAAGAGTATCCTCAATGCTTAGAAAACTGTAGACAGAGCTGCCATGCTAATGGTCAGACGGCAATACAAGTTGTTGGCATTACCTGGGGACAGTTTACACCAAACCTTTTAAAACTTCCCAAGGCTGATATAATTCTTGGTTCAGACTGTTTCTATGACACAAAAGGTAACTTGGCACCATTACTTTCCCCACCACTGAATCAAAACTCTGAGTTGCTCTCTGACTACAGTTATGTAATCTTTGTTTTCTGTAATTTTGTGATACAGATTTTGATGACATTTTGGCAACTGTCTCCTTTCTAATGGTGAAAAATTATCAGGCCAAGTTTTGGTCAACATATCAAGAGAGAAGGTGAATTCTTTCATACAATATGCTATTTACAACATTATTTAACCCTTTCACTCCCTGATCTCATAAGTAATTCTCCTTACTGTCTGCCATACAGTTCTCATGAATGTTAGTTCAGAGAATGCAGTATTAAATCAACTAACAATTGGCCAACTGATATTTCTATTTATTCTCATCACTTGTCTTCTTGACCCTTTAACTTCCAAGATCCCATTAGTAATTCTCCTTACTGTCTGCCATATAGTTCTTGTGGTGTTAGTTTTGAGAATTTGGTATTGGATCAACTAATAATTCCCTATTTAATATATTTTTTTATTCTCATCATTTGTCTGCTTGATATAGTAGTGATATTGTAAAGAGAAATTCTGTCTTGGTCACTCTTGAGAGTTAAAAGGGTTAAAATTACTGTGAAACTCAGAATACCATGAACTAAGAAATATTTCTGGAATGTTATTGTCTTTCCACCAAAAAAAGCCAATCAGGAAACTACTTCAATGTGTCTCTGCTAAAAGATGTCTTAATTAAATACCATTTTTCACAACTTTGGACATCAGATTAATGTCACCTTTTCATTTTAAAAATTCATACTTTAATTTGTTGCAGTTCCAGTCATTCCATTGAAGATTTGTTGAAAAAATGGGGACTAAAAGGTATCCAAATACCACTGGAGGGATTTAATGCAAATGATGGGAACATTGGTGGATCCAATCTGTCTGATTTACACACCATTCAGATGTTGGAGATAACACGTCAATAAGCCTTGGACTACTTTGTCTTTGAACCTGTAGTTGTCTCTCATATCAACCTCCAGAGGGCAAAAAATATTGGAGCCACAGGATTTAACAATTGCAAATAGGTGCTGCCATTCCCATTAGCTATCAATGACAATTTTTTTGGTTTACAGACATGAACCATACTATCATATCTACTGTTTGCTTTGAATGCATCTTTGAAATGGCACAGATCAGGAACTAGTACTCAATCTTTCTGAACACTTGTTCAAAGGTGTTGAACAATAAATAAAACTTTCAATCTGTCAGGCTTTTTCTCAACAGTATTTTGGTGGGAAAAGGACCCATTGGTGAAAAAGAGTGACCTCTTGGTTACCAAAAGTAGGGATTCAAGTTGGACAAGTTCTTTCTGAATCAACCTTGGAAATAGGTTTCTTGTAAACTCTTATGTGCACTGCTGAGTTGGTTCGTACTTTAGAATATCCTTCCTGGTCCTGGAAATCAACAACAAAATGTTAAAAAAAATGACTACTATCAATGTGTATTTGAAAAAGACATGTTTCAACATTACTGTACTGCAATCTGTAACATTTGTGGGTGAAGTTTTACCAGATTTGAATTTATGACAATGGCACTTAGCCAAAACTCCATAAGTCTTTGAAGAGAAAGAAAAAGTAACAAAAGTGGCATGATGGAGGGATTTTCACAATGACTTATGACCTCATTGGGATTTTGATGTTGCCATGTTATACAAATGAGAAAAATCAGATGGAATATTTTTGACTTGATCACAATCGATTTTGAGCACTCAGGAATGATAAATCTCATTTTTCATATTCTTACGTCATCTTCAGGCTCAAAGTCATCCACTAGTTTGACACTGGAAGTTGTTGTTGATAACTGAAAAAGAAAAAATTGCTATGTGTAAGTTAACTGTCATGCACTTGAATGAATGTCTATAACCCTTGATAACTATGAGACAAGCTTACCCTCCTTGGGAGGAAAGAAGACCTTACTTAAGAAAAAAGCAGAAATCATACCAATTGAATATGCTCTCTTTGTTCCATGTGTATTAATCTAACTTTACTCCCCCCCCCCCCCCTCTTACACCCTGGGTTGCTAGCCATGCAGGCTAGATCCTTTTTTCAAGTCTTAAACACAGGTCCTGCATCACCAATCAAATGTCAATGGTCACTGTCACCTATTACATTGTTGTAACACAGAAGACTTAAAGGCAACTGCTTCTGCAATTCTCTCTTGACAGGTAATGGTGAGCCATGACCCTTGACCCCTCACCTGTGCCTCATGACCTGCAATCCATCATCTGTGACCTGTAACCTGTGTTTTATTCTTGCCCTTTCATAGGTGTCATTCCCCCTGTGTTAAAAAATGTTCCCTTTCTAGGAGGCTACCTATCAACAATTTGAAGAAACTGTTCTTTCAAGTCACCTCAACAGTTCCTTGTCCTCTTTGTTCAAGCTGCAGAGCTAGATTTATTGCACGATTGATAGCAGAACCCAAGCCATGAATAGTCACCTCTTGCTCACTAAATAACAAAACAAAACAGAACTGAAATAGAGAGGTTTGTTTGAAAATTTTAGACAAGTAGTTGTATGGCTTTGTGTATATCAGGGCTTGAAATAATTTCTGGAGAGTCTCCAGACATAGTGACCAGCCAAATTTATTTAGGTTGGTCACATATCGTTTCTGGTCAGTCAAATCTAAAACACAAGTTACTCTTAAAACAGGGACCCATGCACTGACCAAGACTGGCATTATATATTTTAAAAAATAGTCATTGCTTAGAGCATATAGCACTGTAAAGCACTCATTGTTAACAAAAAAAATTACAGCAGTGAAATGAAAATAAGCTTAGGTGTATCAATAATTACACTTTCTGTAAGACTAACCCAAAACACCTTAAATATCTTTATTGTACACATTAAATTTGTCTGGTGCCTCCAAATAGAATGATTTCTGGTGTATGTATCCTGGTGTGAGATCTTGATCCTAAAACTCTGCCAGTAATCCATGTATAACCTTTTATGTTTATGTTACACATGCAGCAGATAAACATACAGATAAACTTGCAAGTAGAGGAATGTTTATTGGGTTTATAATGTGTAGTTCCATTGCATTATACTTTAATCATATTTAATGTGGGTAGAATTAATTTGTATGCAAGGAGAAATGTAAAACTTGAAACATGTTTAATTTTTTGACCGGAGTGGTTCTGGAGAAATGGAAATCCAGCGAATAAAAAGCACGAAAGAGATGCATATGTCGCGCAATCTTTGGAATTCAAATAGAAAAGAACAGTTAGAATCTGAAATTTTAAACGCAAAGGGAACCTTGCAAACTTGCAGTAACGTAAAAATCTTCACGAAGCAAGAATAACTTAGAGTTTTAAGAACGGCAATACAAAAAACTACAGGCATTTCTATATCTTAGATTTAAGTTTTTTACAGCTGATATTTATGTTAATAATTTAATTAAGTAAACTTTTCATTTTTTCCTCAATTCCTTGGAGGCCTCTGACACAGCCTGATTTTAAATTATTTTCAAATTTTTATACTTGTGAAAACAAAATTGAATCAAAGTATTCGAAAAGTGGTCTAATCAAGCCTATTTACAGCAAACCTTGAATCAAGGATCTTTTGACATCGCTCTAGTTGTCCAGCAAAGTCGGTTTTCCTGTTTACGTATATGTCATTTCGACGTTTTTGCTCTTTTTGAGGAGGTCTCCTTCTAACCAGATCTGAGTAAGTTACAATAAAAAAGAGAAATTATGCATCCACTTCAATCAAAATCAAATAAAACCTTGAAAAGTTACTACCACGTACTTGCACCCTTTTCCGCCATTTTGATTCATGTAGCATCCGCTGCACGATTGAAAAGCAGGCGCACGTACCAAATCCGATCTCTTGGAATCCATCTTGACTTGGCTTGAAAGGTAGTGAAATGAGGGAAAGAAATCCTGTTATATCTTAGACATCATACCAATATTTCTTAAATAAATCATATCTTACCGTGCATTTTCTCATTACATCTTTCATAATTGAAAAATTTTGGTTTTTATTCTCGGTTAAATTGGTAACGAGAACTTTTATCTTGTTGTGTTGTAGGCATCTTTCTGTCACGTCCATTTCACAATGGTAAGTTCCAAAATTCTACTCAAGCTTTAACTCTTAAGTTAAGTTATCAAGCATACTCCATGTATGAAGCCCGAACCGGTAGCTTTGGCAGCTTAGTAACGTCTCGGTGATCCCTTTTTTTTTTCTTATTTCTTTTTGCAGCCTAAACAGATCCATGAAATTAAGGATTTTCTCCTTACGGCACGGAGAAAGGACGCCAAATGTGAGTAATCAATCGTTCCTTTCAATATTTCTTTGCACCATAATGTATTCGAATCATCCTTCGTCGTAGGAATGTAAGTGCTTGTGCAAATATGATTTGTATTTGTACTGAAAACTGCACTCGAAATCATTAGAGATCGATTGGCGTTCTCTTTGCCAATTAGCATGCAGAAATTTTCCATGTATACTATTAAAAGAGAAATGCATATTGAGCTAGATATAACCATCATATAGGACAAATGAATAAAGGGGGTAAGTTTCTTAAGAAACTGTGGTGCAGCGTCAGTGGGAGAGTATAACGAGGTCTCTTAAAAGAGGTTATTGTTTTTATGAGTTAGTTTGATATTATCAACCGAGTTGATTGTGTAAATTGGCCATTGTATACAGTTTCAAAACTGACGTTTCAAGCGTTAGCCCTCTGTCAGAGCAAAACGAAGGGCTAATGCTTGAAACATTGGCTTTGAAACTCTTTACAGTAGTCAATTTATGTTATCAACTCAACTGACTAAATCAAATTACTTCATCATATGGACAGACTAATACCTGAAGATCAGAGGAAAATCATATCTTTTTAAAAATTTTCCCTTACATATTACAGTTACTGCATGCAAAATTGGAAGATTTTTATATTTTCAGTTTATATGATAACATGTAAGTATGTATGTTTTTAATGTTGTGGTCTTTTGCAATGTTGAAATATTCTTACATTTTCCTAAAATATTTCAAAATGAATTTCAAAGGATTTTGTTAAATGCTTAATTAAATTGCAACCTTGGTTTTTCAATGCTGTCTGTGCAAGTCTGAAACTGCCTTCCCAAACCTTGTTAATATACAAAGTAACCTCCTCTTAACAAAGATGTAATGCCATTTTTTCGAGAAGATAAATTGTAATGCTATCACTTTTTACAGCTGTAAAGATAAAGAAGATTAAGGATACAGTTAAGTTTAAGGTGCGATGCAGCCGCTATCTCTACACCCTTGTTATCCAGGACAAAGAGAAGGCTGATAAACTGAAGCAGTCACTTCCTCCAGGTAGGTCTTCCCTGTTCATGTGTGTCATTTCAGGAGGTCTCCTTCTAACCAAATCTACAACTTTCTATTAGAGGAGAGATTTTGCATTCACTAGATTGCAGTGATTAAGTTTACAGATAGTGATCTTTTGACAGTTGTACACTGATTAGATGCTTTTTACAACATAATCTTTTACTGCACTTATGAACCCTTTAACTCGCAGATCAGATTTGTAATTCTCCTTACTGTCTACCATACAATTCTTATTATGTTAGTACAGAGAATTTAGTATTCGATCTACTAATTATCCCCAAATTGATACTTTTCTCTATTCTTATCACTTATTTGGTTTATATTGTATTGATATTACAAGGAGAAATTCTATCTTGGTCACTCGTGGGATTTAAAAGGTTAATTATCAGTCAGCCATCTTTTCTCTGCTTTCTGGGCAAGTGGGCCCTGTATGTTTTGTTTGGTTGATTTTCTTCTGTAATTGACCATGTCTCTTTTTAATTACAGGTTTGGCTGTCAAGGAGTTGAAGTAGAAATTTTGTTACATCATGAAGTGAAATAAAATGTAAATAAACAGCTTGTTTGTGTTTGATGTTATAAATGTGACCCTTCACCTTGGTTAGGTTTTCAAAACAAAACCCCACTCAGGCTACAGTTTTGAACAATCAGAGCACCTCTCAGGAGATTTTATTCTTAAGTAAGTTTATTTGTAGTTATTAAATGTTTTCCAGTGTTAGGTGAGACATTTGGTTAATTAAAGACGGTGTTGGAAAGCAGCTTTGCAGGTCAATTGCTTAAACTTTAAATTCTGCTTAATAACTCTCTACGTGTGATACCAGCAAAACATTCCTGAACAGGTGATCAAAGCACTTGAAAATTAGCAGCGAAAAAACGGTAGCAGCTAATCAGTACTTGTGATAGGGAAAAGAATCCATTTTGAAAAGTAGCTGATGACAGTAAATTGGGATTTAGATACAGTGGAAAAGTAGGGATGGAAATTTGATTGAGAGTGCTTTCAGCTTATATCGGTGATAGGTGGAGGGGTTACCAGTGATTTACCACAGTTTTTATGGCAATATAAAGCCCCCTACTGCTGTCTGTTTTGAGTTAAATTTTTTAGATTGTTCTGCCATACCAGTCAGTTAATTTTACAGGCTCCCACCCCATCAGCAACTACCTGTGCAAATTATTATTGAAACCCCTGTAATTGGCTGCAAAATGGTACAAAGGAAAGCAGCCTTTGAAATGAAGTGACTGCTTAAGAGACTCCTTTCTTCATTCCAGGAAAGATTTGAGTCAAGTCAGTGTTAGACACCTTGCAGACCTCTTGCTGACTCATGTTATTCAAGGCTCATACTTTCCCACATCATGAAATACATACTTGTGCCCAAGCACTGGTAATGAGGGCCAACTTGCAGTTTTAACCCTTAACTCCCTGAGGTGATTGACTTGCAACTTCTCACCATATTATCCATACATTATCCAGCAAACAAGTAATGAGAATACTCAAACTTGCCAGGTAGTTGTTATTGTGATCTCACACCAAATTCACATTACTAGTTTACCAGGAAATGTGTTGCAGCTAGAAAGGAGAATTGACAATCAGATCTTGAGTGTTAAGACAATTGTAAATTTTGTGTTTAAGATAGGTTAACAGGATGTTTGGCCTTATCCATATGTTAAAAACCAACTGCAGATTTAATAGCAGAAAATAAGTTTCTTTGAGAGCAGGAAAAAGCACACATTTGGACACAGGTATGGGAGATTGGTGACAGCTTTATTTTAAACTCATCTCAAGATTTCTGGTTTACCACCAGTTCTAATATTTTTACCATATTTGCTTTTACTAGCCTGTGTTTCATTTCCTTTCATTGAAAGTATAACCAGGTATACAATGCAACACAACTTTCTATTAAAAATACAATTTAATTGAAATCTGCAGTTAAAAGCATCCCTATAAATAAAGAAAAAATATACACAGAGATAACTTGGACAAGCTGATATACCTAATCGCCTACCAATTTTCAATATCCTCTTGGTTGGCTTAAATGTGGCTAGAAAGGAAAACTGACTTTTTTCCATTAATGGGTGACATTAACTGCATGGGTGACATTAATACAATTTCACTTTATCAGAAAACTTTCAATTCTTAGGTAGAAGAATTAAACTGACAACAACCCTTCCCTGCAAGGTTATATCACATTGCAGATGCACTTCATCTGAAGTTTGAACTGAAGTGTTGTAAAAGTAAGAAAATGTTTTGCATGTGACACAATAATGTTACAAATCAACCTATGTCATTAAAATTAGTAACACTATTTACAAAGTTACAATACCTAGATTCAAAAGCCCATGCATAAGATAAATACTTTTCAATGTAAATAATAGCTTCCCTTCATAGGATCACATGCATGTACAACACAATGAAACTTGTATAAAGGGAACCTCAAATTAAGGAAACACCCTGTATATAATGGTAATTAAACTGAGTGGAGGGCAAATTCAATATCAAACGAGCAAGCAGCACAAGTTTGATTTGAAATCACAAGTACGATTTCAGACCAAACTTGCACAACACAAAGTTCAATTACTTCTTTATTACATCCAATTTGAAATAGGAAAATTCAGTGGCTAAAATATAGAACTTTTTACTCCTTACAAATGCTACTGATCCAGTACTGAATTGGTTTGTAAAATGTTGTTAAAGTTGTATTTCATTTTCCTGCAATTTGAGTGGTACCTTGAAAAAGCATTGAAATGTGTTTGGTTCTTGAGTTTTAGTGAAGCTTTCTCATTGGCTGAGGAAAAGATGTCATTAAGAGCAAAAAATGGTGCTATTTGTGAATAAATCTGATGAGAGCCAATCAGATTGCAAGGAATTGCAATGATTTCAAGATGGATGTAATAAAAAGGACACACTAGCCATTTTGTCTAAACAAGGCTACATCCAGCAAACACATTGAGCTGTTGATAAGTATGGTTGATGCCAAACCAAACTGAAACATTCTCACTCTTACTATAACTCAGTTTAGTGTAACAAGGTTTCCATGGTTGATTCCTTAATAGGAGTTTCCCTGAAAATCTAAAATTAGAACTATGTATGCTGACCTCTCAAGACAGTACCAGCTGTGAAAACTTTACATTCATAGTTGAGTTCAATGTACATGTATATGTTCTTGAACTAGTAATAGTGAAACTTTTGTTTCATTTACTATCACTAAACAGAGCATGAGGTTCATTTACTTGTTGCTACTGTATTACTTTCCAGCTGTTAAGTAAAAGTAAGTCAACAGTGAATTTGGCAAAATTAAATAAATAATACTCTAAAAATAAAATTGAAGAATGTTTTTTGCATGTTCAGACATACTGGGTGACTATCTGTGTTGCCCTATAAGGTTCAACTTTTGTTTTGAAAATTCATCAGAAACAACACCAACATTTTCCTGAGATGGCCTTATACTTCAGTACTACTGAAAAGTTTTCACACTTTAACTCCCAGAGGTGATTCACATGTAACTTCTCCCTATAATATCCATACACGATCCAGCAAACAGGTAATGAGAATACTCAAACTTATCAGCACTACTCAAGAGTTTTATAAGTAAACCCTATAACTCCCAGAGGTCATAAACATGTACCAGTAACTTCTCTCGATAATGTCCATAAATTATCCAGCAAACAGATACTGAGAATACTCAAGCTTAGCAGGTAGATATTGTCATCTTGATCTTACATCAAATTCATATAAATAATTTACAAAGAAAATTGCGGCAGCTAGAGGGAAGAATTAACAATCAGATTCTGGGAGTTAAAGGATTAAGAAAGCCTGTCTTATCTAAATTGTTAAAGTAAATTTATTTTTAAAAAAATTACTTTTAAAGGCAAAAGTGCAGAATAACAACAGATGGCCATGTGCAGTTACCCTTAAACTCTTTAAATGTATGGCCTCTTTTACTCCAATATTGTGTATTGTTGAGCAATTTGTTGGCATTTTTCTCACCCAAAATGTAATATTTTTTCTTCATTACCTAAGCAAGAGTGGACAAACTTTGAATATAAAAAGTTCAGAGGCAATTGTGAAAACTATACAAAATATATAAAGAAAAAATGAAGGTCCAACGTGTGTTCCTTGTGGTAACTTGTATGGTTTTCCACCAATCTCTGGCATTTGAAATCCCATTGGGAATGTGAGGGCTGCCAGACAGAACACTATCACTACAAAATGAAAAGGAACATGTTAATGAAGAAATTTCTAACATTAAGCATCTAATTTCTCCCAACAGTATCACCCTTGAATCAAACATTAAGTTCATGAGAATTGAGGAAATGATGGCAAGCTCAAGAAGCTCCTGATTGTTAAACAAATTCTCCTTATAAGAGGCACAGGAAATGTATAGAGAACAGTATGGAGAACTTACATACTGATGTTAGAGTGTAAAGGGTAAATACACATCATGACAGTCTGTAATACTTCTACTGCACAAGTGGCAAATAAACTATAACAGACTGGTACCTTTTACTATGAATGATGTGTAGCAGTAGGGTAAATTAACAAGAGCAAATGGAGAAGTTTGTGATAATCATTTGAAGGAAATATGTTCACAGTGGTAAAAAGATCAACCAATTAAAAAAAAAAAACTCTTCCAGTCATTTGAACCTTGGCATACATATAAGAAAAATGAAACTTAACTTGTCAAATCAAAGATTATTCTTCAACTTCTGGCATGTACCAACAATGTTCAGAAATTCATGTTGTAATCTTCAAATCTTTAATACTTACTTCCAAGAAAAACAATCCACTTGGCTGCATCCACAATGGAAGGTTTCCAGGGAGACACCAGTAGCAAAAAGCAAGTGAGTGTCAGAGCTACCACACCCAAAATCATAAACAATAGAGTAGCCAGCCACTCTTGGGGTAAATCAGGGGTAACACACACCTCTGGTTGCCCCTCTGATTTCTGACACATGACAGTCAACCCCAGTCTAACAGAACCTTATTGGAACAAAAGAGAAGATTGAAGAGTTAGAACATATTCTGAAAATAGAACAATCAATTATATACTGTTGTTTGTTTGTTTTTTTTAAACCCAGCGATGAACCAAAGCAATCACCAACTCTTTTAAACAAGAGTTTGCATAAGTATTTTTATGTTGGAAGATCCTAACCCTTTACCTCCCATTAAGTGATTAACAAGTAACTTCCCCCCCCACAATATCCATGCACTACCCAGCAAACAGGCAATGAGAATACTCAAATGTCTTGGTTAGAAGTTGTTACCTCGATCTAACACCAAATTCTCATAACTAATTTACAAGGAAATGTGTAGCAGCTAGAGGGGAGAATTAACAATAAGATCTTGGGAGTTAAAGGGTTAAAAGTGATAAAGAAAAATGCTAATATATATTAATAAGCGCCATAATTGCACAGGTAAACATATACAATATTAAAATGTGCCGCGTTTTCTTTCAATCAATTTGGCTTGTATAATAACCACTTGGAAAGTTGGGAAAACACTCCAAAACTTTGTATATATCGACTGCCTTTGGCTTGTGATAACAAAGTTTTCTAGTATTCTCCCAACATCCCACATGGGTAATTAGGCCAGTAAACCAACAGAAAGTCTATTGCTAAAAAAGAACATAGTAAGGGTTGGTCATTTGAAGAAAGTTTAGCCATTGTTTCACAAAACTGCATCCTACACAATCCTAAATTTAGCGGAAGCTTTTATCTGAACATTTATTCATCTAAAATAAGTGAATAGTGTTAAGTGGGCTGAAAGCTAATAGCAGAAGGACATTTATTTAATTAAATAAACGCCTCTTAGAGAGAAAGCTTGAGACCCACTGATTGCGTAAAACCATGGTTTAGGTAAGACCTTGTGTAAATGACTGGTCCTCAATGTCTCATATTCAAACTTCAGTTTTTTTTTTCCCTTCAATCTGCATTGTTTTAATTTCAAATATTTAATTAAATTAACACAAACATTAATTTTCTACAATTCAGTATCAAATTATGCCAGCCTTGTCTGTACAAGGCAATTTTAATCCTATTGGCATTTTAATGGTAAACTCCCAAGAATGGCTTCATATTAAACATGACAGTTGAAGTGAATTTGATTCAAATGGTCACATACAATTATTTGCGAGAAAAGAATCTCCAGGTCTTGAGCATAAAAACTACAGCTACGTATTTTCTAAATTGTTTTGTCCGTTGATTTCTCTTTCCACACACTATATCTAGTTTCACACGCTGTCGACACGTTTCCTGTTGTACTCCTCTACGCTCACAATACATATCAACCCACTTGCAAAGGTTTCTTTCCTCAATATACGGTTACTAGGCAGATTTTCCTTTTTTCGCAAAGGTATCAATTCGGAAATCAACGTTGTAACTTTGTACATAAATTTAACGAAATCTCTCCGCAAATAGATCTCCAACCCCATAATCACCGCTTTACAATAAATTCAGGTTTTAATCTAATGTATTGCGACTTACCCGCAAACTCCATCACTACCCACTCAGGAGTTGCCAATGACGCTATGGCGAAGACATCGGCCGCAAAACATAAAAATCCTCCAACAATTACAAATTTATCCATGATCTAGGCGTACTATAAGCGCGAATATTTCCTCGAATACACTCCAAGAAAGATCTAATCGCGGCCGAAGAACGGCGTAAACAGTGACGTTCTACTACAGTCAATCGAAATGGTCGAATCAATCTTCTGGAATATTAAATGATTCGGTTGGATTTCGGCGCATTTTCACTCCAAAGGCCATCTACGGTATTTATGACTGTTCCTCTATCTTTCAGCTTTGGAGAAATGTCCTATAGTTGTCTAACTTTGTTCGAAGTTACAGCATTTGAATGCAATCAACTTGCTCACGCAAAACCCCAAAGATGTTTGGAGACCTGAGTGCGACATGGGAACCAGTAATTTGACGTTCGTGTGACGTCAGATAAGATGGCGGACGCTTACAAGGAAACGCTACTTGTTTGAAGAGTAACAAAACTTTTGTTTTTCGCCCTTGTAGTGAAGATAAATTAGCGTAAATGATGATTAATTCGCCATATATTTTACAGAGGTTTGTTTCAGCGAAAGAAACTGAAGAATTCACATCCTACTCGAAGGGAAAAACAATTCACGAACATGGCAGGATGTCTGGAAAGGAAGCGAGAACGTTTTATGAAGTTGTTCTTTCTTCATCCAATTCTGATGCAGGAAGTGTTTTAGCGTCAGAGGATGACAAAACGGAAAAGAATAATTCAGGTCAAAAGGGAAATGGGTCATTGGCGAAATCAACGAACTCAAAACCAACTGAAAAGGATTTGAAATCCAAAAAGAATAGTGGTCACTCCAGATCCATACCTACTAAATTTCGTTCTACTTCTGATCACAGACTAGTAAACGATTTCTTAAAAAATGCTCAAGAGGGAAATTTAAGACGAGTTCAAGAACTGCTTTCCAATAATAGCGTAGACATAAATGTATGTGACCAATTTTCATGGACAGGATTGATGTGTGCATCTCACAATGGGCAGATTCACATTGTCAAATATTTACTCGAGAGCGGAGCTTTGTGGAGATCTTATGAAGACTCACAAGGAAGAACAGCTTTCGACCTTGCAAAACTTGCAGGACACCATGACATAGCAGAACTTCTCAGATCTTACAGTGGTCAGCGTAAATGCCAACGCATAAAATCCTCTTATGAAGAGCATTCTGCTATCACAGCACAAACCAAATTTTGGTGCTCTGTATGCGAGCAAGAGTTTACAGATCTGAAGGGTACACATGAAGGTTCAACTGTGCATTTGTTCAATATACAACGCAAGCCTCAAAAAACATTCTATTATATTCCAGAAGGCAATGTAGGGTATCAATTGATGCTAAAGTCTGGCTGGAATGAAGATCGAGGTAAACTTAATTCTCACGTTTTCTTTAAATCCACAGTACTAGTTTCATACTGAATTAAGGGCAGGAAGTACTGTCATTTCCCCTTCTAAACTGCCAGGAAATTTGTTTAAGGCAAAACTCATCAAGGAAGTTATGCTAACATAAACACAACTTAGAACACATACCTGTGTTACTGTGGCAACTTGACAAGCAGCATTGCTCCAAGCAAGACGTTTTTGAAAGTTGCCATTTGGCACACCACCACCGGAAATTCAAATTTTGTCACAATTGCTTATTAAAGGAAAATGATGAACAATTTATATTATTGCATGCCAATGGTAGCAGCTTCACTGCTGCACACAAATTTTAAGATTGGTGATCATTTCCTTTGTTCTTGTGACCCTTGATGTTTGATTCCAGGGTGATCTTGTCAGGAGAAATTAGAAGCTAATCATTCTCAGGAATCAAAGGATTAAAATTATGAAGATTTTCTTTACTCTCTGACAACAAAAAGAGCTGTAGCATGGAGAACTGTCCACGAGAAATAGACACAGGTCTAGTCACTTCATGCTACAGAAATCAGTGATAAGCAACGATAGTTACAGCTCAAAAAGATTTAATCTTATAGTCAATTTTTGGATCAATATCAGTATCTGGGCAACTTCCCACCTACCCCTCCCCTAACCCAACATTAACCCTACCTTGTTATCAATAGACTGTTGTTGGGTTAGGGGAGGGGTAGGTGGGCAGTTGCCCAGATACTGATATTGATCCCAAATTTTTTTAAAATTCTGTTTATCACAGGTTTAGGCCCAGCTGGTGTTGGAAGAAAATACCCAGTGAAAACAGTTCTCAAGAGAGATCGATTAGGATTTGGTAATAAGGGATGTCAACCAGCAAGAGTGACACACTTTGGTCCACATGATCACAGTTCTGTGAAGAGGAGAAAATCAATCACCGAGAAGGAAAAGAACAGAGGAACAATGAAAAAGACTTGTAGGAGGGAAAGGGTGGCTAAAGAGAAGAAGGAAAAGAATTGGGAAAGAAATATGAGGATATACATGAACACTGAATAAAATTTATCATCTAAAGCTTTTATTGTGGTAATGATAGGGAACAAATTGGCAATGTTAACAGCTATTCTTTATATAAAATACTGAGAAGATCAATACCATATAACTACGATAAGAATATAAATAATCTAACTCAACTTTACTATGTTACAATGACTAGTTTTTTCATATTTAAATAATGGTTACCTTATTTAAAACTAAACAGAATAACTGGATGGTTAAAAATAATTTCATTTGTTCTGAGTACACTCCTTTGTTTGTGATTGATAACTTTTTTTTACTTTGTGAACTACAAACACCTTGTATGCCCCCCCTTTTATTGTAAAGCCCTCTCTCCCTTTAAGAAATTCAGGTTTTTAATAAGCCTACCTCTCCCCCTGTTTTGAAATTCAGGTTTCTCATAAGCCCCCCCCTCCCCTGTTTTGAAGTTCAAGTTTTTGATAAGGCCCCTTCCCCTCCCCCTGTTTTGAAATTTAGGGCCCAGTTGCATAAAGGGCAGATAATGCTATCCAACAAATAAATCTCTATCCAGTGTATCAGCGACTACAAAATGTATGCTGCACATGATAATGATCCTAAAAAGAAGAATAAAGAAGCTCTGTAATAAAATGGGAAAATTTCAACTGTAGCTATGGAGAGGCAGTATTTGTGAAAGTTTTCAAATACCAGTCTGGGAGGACACAGTGCAGTTCATCAGACTTCTCTGTAACTGTCACTTCTTCAAATGGCTCTCTCCAGGAGAACATGTACATCACCCTTGGTCCACTTTTTATAACCACTGTCTTCACCCAGTCAAGAAATCTGTCCAGAAAGTTCAAACAAATGGAAGAATCCCAGAGATCCTCCTCATCTCGTGCAAGTCTAGGTATGGCCAGAGTGTTGTATGTTTGCAATTCTTTCACATGGCCACTGTGATCCCTGTAGCCACAAATGATTTTTGGCACACCAGCCAAATAAGACTGCGCCCACCACTTGAGCAGTTTGAAGCGTTTGAAGGTGTAGTGGTGGTGGTGGTTGTGAGGTTTCAAGGAAGTTTTCAATTCTATATAATTTGCTGGGGCTTCTTCATTATCCTACAAGAAAACATGGAATTTAAATTTTAAGCTGTGATGTAATTATTAACCCTTTAACCTCTAAGAATGATTAGTAGCTAATTTCTCCTTACAATATCATCCCCAAGGAATAAAGGAAATGATCACCAACTAAAGAAGCTCTCGATTGTTAAACAAATTCTCCTTGTCAGCACCTTGGGAAATGTGTAGAGAGCAGTATGGAGAATATGAATAGCTATGTTAGGGTGTAAAGGGTTGATCAGATTCCTTTGCAAGAATGAAGAACCCACTAAAATTTGCCTCCCTCCCAACATGTGGCTTCATAGTTAAGTTAGTAATGGCACCCAACTGGTATCTGGGAGGCACAGATTCCCTTTCTGTCAAAGCCTTAATTTTTTTTCAGGCTTCCTCTCTGTAATTTTTCAAATTGGAGCTTACTCGCAAAGATCATTTCTTTACAGAATCTGAAAGTCTGAGGTTCGGTTCCTCATGGGTACTCAGATTTTTTTCTTTGTCCCATGCTTGTAAAAAGACAGAAAAAACATCTTTCTCTATTTCTTTACTTGGTTGTATGTTACACAACTAAGATATCATTGACAGGGTTGTTATTAGAATCCAGTAGGCAGTGGAAACCTGCTGGCTGTCAGACCATTTGGTCCCTGAGCTACTTGGTGAATTGTGAGCAAAGACAGAAAATAAGTATTTTTGAACTGATTTCAACATAAAAGTCGGGCTAAACAGAATTACTCAAATATGCCCCAGAATGCTGCAATTCATGTTTTAGAGGGTTTCAATTTTTTCCAGCAGAGTAAGCCTCCCCAACCCCTCCAGGAGGGTGTGTTACAAACATGCTTACTGAGAAAGCACACTGAGTTCAGATCATGCATTTAGTACTAACATTTTCACAAAAACCCTGCACTAAAACAAAATATACCTTGGTGCAGCAGTCCACTTCAGCACCAAAAACCAATGAGTGTTTATTAAGCCTAGCCCTGATTACAGTGACAAATTCCTCACTATCATTAATAGCATGGCTTTCCTTGGCTTTTTCCTCATTTTTATTATGATGACTTTTGTCTACCAGGGATGTAACATAGCTTTCAAAGTTATGACCCCAGTAGCACATCTCTTTGTGTCTTTCTTCCATATTCTCCCTCTTGTCCTTGTTTTCCTCAGTTTCTATCTCCATAATGTAGATTGTTCCATTGTGTAGCACAGCTGCCATTTGCCAAGATTCTCTTGTTTCATAGGGTGTGCACATTATCTTTGTCAAGAGCCCCCTCCATGTTATGAAATCTGTGTGTAAGCTGAAAAAATAGGAAGATGTGTTTTTATCTGATGCCCTAGATACCAAACTTTTCACTAGAAAAAATGAATTTTGAATTACGACCAAAACAAGTTCCTTGAATGAAAGTCTGAGGTCTGAAAATGCAAAATTGTTGTGTTCCAAAAGAAATTTGATTCACAAATCATCCAGTGATCAGAAAAAAATTGCCTTACACTATGATAATTTATCATATAATTTGAGGGTTAATGAAGCAAGCTAGGTCAATTTGCTTTTGACAAATTCTTTGTAATTACAATATTTGGTAAATTAACACCCAAAGCCAAGTCAGTAGTAAAGTTTGGCTTCTTGGTGACATTAAATACTCCGCTTTTTATCTACACCCACCCCCCTGAGGAATCCTAAAGGTCAGTTTTCTTTTGGCACCAGTAAGAAAATAAAATCCTCTTGTGGAAAAAGTGTAGACCCCCTTGCAAAAAAAAAAAAAAAAACCGTCGCACCTGTCTACTTGGAGTGGTGCGATTTCCGCATATCTCCAAATTTCATTACACATAAAGTTCTTGGACAAATGGCGAAAACAATAAGTTACCTCTGGGAATACCTATTCGGTTTACAATAGCACAAGGCTGTGTAGGAATCTTAGCCTACTTGGAGGTTCAGACGGGAAAGAAAAACGTCTTCTTTGCAGATTTCCTAGGGAGACACTTGTTTTTTAAAATATAAATAATCTCACCTGGAGAGTTGAGTTTTACCTTCTGGAGGAGTCTCGCTCGTGGGACTTTGAACGATTTCAAACTTCTCGTGGTGACATTGTACCCACTGCAACAAGTTTTCCAACCCTTCTTTTACATCTTCGTTCCGTTTCACAAAGTCTTTATACCCAGCCCTGAGGTCGAAGTTTATATCACGCGGAGGACTAAAATACCTCAATTGTCTCTTATCATCGTGAAACCTTCTATGATCGTCTAAAGAGAAATGCCCCACTTCGATTGGTTGTCGATAAAAAGGAAGTCTTCCTCGAAAAGCTTCCACAGGTTGGACTGCAAAGCTTTTCTGTGTTACAGAGCTGTCTTTTCGAGTTTTCTTTGATGCTGCAGCCTCAGATACATCCGAACGACGTTTCATGTTGGACTGTTATTTAGAGTAAATTGAAAGCGCCTTTAAAGCGTCTTTCGGTTTCATTCGTCCACCATGTTGGAACACGGTGCGAATAGAATTCTGGTCTATCAAGATAGTTTGACTGTTCCGTTGTGTAAGCCTTTATTGAATGTCCCCGATTTCTGTCCGTAACTGATACTTCTCAGATTATATTCCAATAGTTCGTATGGAATGGTTCACGACTTTAGCTCAAATATTCCTTCAAATAACATAGCATTAAAAGAAAAAAAGCAGTTTGATTGTGCAAAGGCCCACCCAGGCCCCAGCCGGCAGATTTAGCAAAGGCTGTACTGCACTTCGAAAGGAGCCTATTAACAGGCTCCTGGCTGTGGCAAGAAACAGCTCCCTCAATTCAAGTTCTACTGACATGCGCATTCAGGAAAAATTTCAGAACTTAAAAGACTCATCAAAATTAGGTTGGGAATGGTGATGGTACTGACCTCAAGTAAGTGATCATTGGATCATGAAAGCACTGACTCCATACTGTTCTCTCTTCATTTTGTGGGGCCGGATGGAAAGGAGAATTTGTTTACTTCTCTAGTTGGTGATCAGTTTCTTCATCCACACGATCTTAATGTTTGATTCAGGGTGACATTGTAAGGAGAACTAGATGTCAGTCACTCTTAGGGGTTAAATGATTGAAAGGTCCTATTTTTCATTTTTAAGTAGCACTTTTAAAAATCAAAGGACAAGAACTTTGGTAGTTGACCTTAATAGGGAATTTTTTATTGTGTAGAATATAACAGTAATTTTTTTTTCAAATTTTTTAACTGTTCCCTTCAATGTCATCATCTGAAGAAGAATCGTATGCAGAAATAAGTGAGATGCTTCCTAGTTCATCCTTCTTTTCCATAATTGTCTCATTCCCTGGATGTTTTGAATGTGACAGTTCATTTGCTCTGTTAAGTGACACCTGCTGTTTTGACCACTGAATAAGATCTGAAAGTGTCTTTGGTGGTGATTTACTCACTGTATTGTATCCTGATCCTTGATTAGTCTCAGTCAACTGAGCTGCATGTACATCATACTTCATATCTGTGCCAGTGTTTGGCTCATAGTACTGATAATCTGTATCTGGATAGTAACCAATTGCCTCTCCACTCTCTTTAAGGTCATGATCAATGTTACGGCGTTTCTGTGGGAAAGAGTTATCCTTAACATTATCATGATGTGGAAGTCTGAGCGGTCCATCATAGTCTTGCAATATCGCAGAAGCAAGTCTCTCTTTGCTGTTCTCTATTTTACGCTTCTTAACCCACGGGTTTGGGTCTTCTGTGGCCCACCGTATATTCAAAATCTCTTTATTATCGAGAGCTTGACTTTGCATGGCCTCTTTGGCAAATTCGGCGTTGGAGCGGTTTTTGTAGCGAACAAACGCGACACCTTTTGACTGTAACACCCTAACGTTATCGATCTCTCCCCACTCTTTGAAGTGTCTATAAACAATCGATTGGAGGTCGGAAGTTACCGATATTCCACCGACATAAAGGGTCTTAGCAGTTTGTTCATCCGCAGAAAACGAACCAACACCACTCTGGTCGTCTCGTACATGTTCGTGTCTTTCTCTACCGAAGCAGTCTTTTGTGGTGTCCAAAGTTGATTCAAATTCATCCGACGGTAAATTATGGATCCAGGAACACTCATATCCTAACGGACAACATCCTCTCGAAAATTTCAAGCAAATATATGTCCCATCCCACTGTCTTGAACTGCCTTTTGTGGTTCCACTGTCCTCTGTGATACTGCATCGAGTGGTAGCTGGAATCTTCTCGCGAAAATGACCTCTTTCTCCAACATTCTTATTATACCAAATGTTGTATGTCTTTCCGGGAAAATTTTCAGATCTCTGAGGACCAACCGGCTGAGAAATTTGCTTCCTTGCATTTCGCCTGCTTGCTTGTGAATTTGCTGCCGCCGCCATCTTGATTCCATCCGGGAAAGGACTGGGACTAAATCTCGTACCAGACCTCTTTCGCATTTTTTTCAAAATGGCCGATTTGAACATGTTGTGAGGTCGAGGGAAGGAAATTCTGAGAAAACTCGAAAAGAGAACACTTGAGAAAACCTCATGAGCAGTTTAAGATCAAAGGTAGGAACAGTAATCCAAATTTGGCATAGTTAAGACAGTTTTGATCCAATGAGCAATAGAACTGTCTTTTTCTGGGTTTTGAAAGATAAGGATGTTTCTTGTTTAAATTCAAAAAAGAACGTTTCTAACTTGATGGTGACAAGTGAACTAAAAATGGGACAAAGAATTGCAACCACATTGTTTGCAGACAATTTTTTTTACAAGGAGTGAGGGGGTGAGGGAGAGGATGGTAGAATATTGGAATCTCCAGAAGGTGTGCAATTGAAACCCAGTAGTAACCCTTACCCTGTACTGAACCAGAACAACGCAGACTTGCACCGTTTCCTGAACTTCAGATTCCCTTCTTAACCCCTTACACCCTAACATCATTATGCATGCTCTCCATACTATTCTCTATACAGTTCCTAAGTTGCTGATAAGGAGAATATGTTTAACAATCAAGAACTTCTTTAGTTGGTGATCATTTCCTTTACTCTCACGACCTTAGTGTTTGATTTAAGGGTGATATTGTCAAGAGAAAAAACAATTAGATGCTAGTCACTCTAATGGGTCAAAGGATCAAAGTAACATCATAGATATGGATTGGATCAAGGGATCTCCTGGATTGGGAAATCATGCCGCAAATTGTCTTTGCAATGCCTCTCATCAATATAATGTTTTTCTTGGCACCATTACACCAGGTGTTGTCTTGCTACCGGTCACTTCACAAAACGCGGCTTAAAGTTTTCAGAGATGACAGTTTTGCTTTAGAGGCTGGAAAACAGAGGATAAGAACTGAATTTCTAAAGCACAAAAATGAGACAGATCCAGCAAAAATTGCTGAACTGATTCAAATGGCAGAGGGTGCAGAGAAGGTCCTGAGGTGTAATATTGTGCAAGGCATACAAACTGACAACGGAACATTCCGTCTCAGAATTACTGAGGACACTGAACTTCAAAACAATGCCCCACGTCCATGCAAAAAAGATAAGTGAAGGTGCTCATGGATACACTCGCATGCAGGGTTGGTATTAATCAATATGAAGTTGGAATCACATCATAGTTGTGTTTGATGAGTCTAACTTGGCTTGATGTGGAAGATCTCTGTCCAAGTTGTTGTAGAACTTGTTTTTGAAATAAGCAACTCATTTTTTTTTAAAACATCCTTCAAATTTGACCTCTCACTCCTCACCACAGACTGAATGTTGCCTAGATTGGTATTTACAATAATTTGGTTTAACTGTTGAAAAACTTCTTATTTGCATGTCTGGACAAGGCAACCATTCTTAGAAATGAAGTGATAGAGTACCTCTCTGGAACTTTAAATAAGACAGACAAAATTATTTGAAAAATATTACACATGTGTGTAGTGAAATGTTGTATTCAAACTTTGCCTCAACTTTTGTAAGTAATTGGGTGTTCAATGAGACTCAGAAATTAGAAAAAGTAATTTAACTGGCCCACAAAGAGGGAAAGGAGGGAATTCCGACCTGCTCAAAAAAATGACAAAATAGTAAAAACCACCTTAGAACTCTGTCTTGTCAGCAGTAATATGATTTATTTAGACACAAGCGTAACAGGTCTGTCTTTATACATGTGGATAAAAACATTTTATTCAAATATTACTTGATTGTTTTTTGAAGTAAGATAGCACACAAGTACAACTACAACATAACTATACATTAAAAAAATCCTGTTTTAACATGTGTAATTGTTTCCTACTGATGGGATTACATTTAAATTTCCTTTAGTAATCAATGGCAGATCCAGGGGGGCAGTGCAGGGAGCTCTGATCCCCCCTCCAACAAGAGCTGTGGGTATTCTTTTACTTCTTGTCCAATACCAAGACTTATAAAATGACAGAATGCAAAGCAGAATGCAATGAAATTATCCTTTCATGTCATGAGTATACCATTTTGTTGTATATACTAAGCAATTTATGTTGAGGCTTTGAATTAATTGGTGCATTAGGGTCATTTCACAAATTGTCACATTGGAAATTATTTGATTTTAAGTTATTATTTGTTTGTATGGGACATCATTGATTTTGTCAGATATACTTGAATTAAAAACTGCAAACTTGGAATACCAAGGGAAGCTCTGTAAAAAGGCTCTACTTGTGACCCAGGTCCTATGCATGACACTCAGGTTACACTGCTGGGTGAGATCCACCATTTTGTACATTCTCTTCTCTGTTATGTTCAGCTCCAGTCCTGTCATCATCTTGTTCTTTTGTGAACTCCAGAAAAACCTGAGGATATCATTGTAGTTAAAAGTGAGCAGTTTGATTGGTCAGTTATAAATAGACCATTTCACAATTGTGTGCTTGGTTGCCAAGCCTTTGAACAGGAGTGAGGCTAAGGGTAACCTTGTTATGATACAAAGCTTGCTGCTTTTCAAATGGTAATTACTTTGTTATCATGCTAACTGGATACTGGTCTCTATCACATCAAGGTCACCTTCAGCCTCACTCCAAATAAAAGGCTTGGCAACTAAGTACACAACTGTAAAATGGCCTCTTGAAACAAGTGTCATATAATACAATATGAAGTAGGGTTGAAAAGTGATGCATTGTTTTTATTTTGAATGAATTTCAGAGGCAAGTGGTGATACCATTGTTTCAAATTAAAGCAAATAGAAATCAAAATAAATGAGTAAAATACTGATTTCACTGAGATTTACAGCGCAGCTTGTAAAGGTCTGTCAGTACAGTTGTGCTTGGCCTACAAATAGGCCCTTGTTCAGGGTTCTCTGCCCATAGGAAGATTTGAGATAAGTTGGGGAGAGGTTAGCTGGGGGTCTGGCACTATTAGCGCAACTGATTGCTTGCAACTGATTGCTTGCAACTGATTGCTTGCAACTGATTGCTTGCAACTGATTGCTTGCAACTGATTGCTTGCAACTGATTGCTTGCAACTGATTGCTTGCAACTGATTGCTTGCAACTGATTGCTTGCAACTGATTGCTTGCAACTGATTGCTTGCAACTGATTGCTTGCAACTGATTGCTTGCAACTGATTGGTTGAGAAGGTACTGCAAGTTTCCCACACCATGCATAGAGGCTGAGGGCAGAGTAAAGGAAAATAAAACCAATCCCTGGTTGTATTCAACTCTCCACAAAAATTTGCTGCAATTTGCTGACCATAAAAGAGTAAAAAACATTTTATACCTGTTCCAGTGTAGACTGACTGAAACTGTACTCCTCTATCCCAATTTCTTCCTTAGCTAAAAAAATAAACACAGCTGAATTTAGTGAATGAATATGCCATCAAATTGCACTTAAAACACTGCTATAATGTTGAGAAAGATATTTTTTGTCTTGTCACGAGTGTGGGACACAGAAAAATTCAGAGTCCCCATGAGGAATCGAACCTCAGACCTTCAGACTCCACACACCAATGCTCTACCACTGAGCCATAGAGACTCCACAGTGAGCGAGGTCTATTACGAAGTTCCTACAACATGCATCCTGCATACTGCTAGGATCAGCAATATCGATAGTGTAATGTTTGTAGATGGAAATAAGAGAGATTGTTGTTATTCTCCTTAACCCTGTCAAATGCTTTAGAACAAACACATTAAGTCACAGCTATAGTGGCATAATAATGAGGTTCAACCTATCTACCAAGAGCTACATGACTGGAACCCCTTCTGTAGCACAGCTTAAAATGTTAAGAAAAAAGCAGATTAACTAATCCTGTCCAATTTGATTCAGGGTTTTTGCACAACACTGTTCATTGTACTGAACAAAATGAACTGTAGTCAGTCAATGGTTTTGGTGCAGGCTCAAAAGGAATGTTGCAACTCTATCACAGCCGGCCTGTTTGAGTTCTCAACCCTTTACACCCTAACAGTACATATATTCTCCATACTGTTCTCTACTCATTTTGTAAGATGCTAACAAAGATAATTTTTAAACCAATCAAGAAATCCTTTAGTTGTTGATATTTCTGTTTTCTTGTGACCTTTGTGTAAGATTGTAAGGAGAAATTAGATGTTAGTCTCTACAGGTTAAGCAGTTTCATAGCATTTGGTCCTTGGCAGTTGTAAGCACATTTGTAATGGTTGTTTCCAAATGTCCCCCCACCCCAATCTGCCCCTTCCTTGATTGTTCCTCCACTCAGATACAATTAATATTGGCAAGGTCTTGGAAAAGCCACTTATTGCTAGGTTGAGGGAATTTTTGCAGCCATATTTTATCTGGGACTGTCTTGCCACAGTGGAAGGCTCTTGATACTCCAGGCACCCACCTTCCATTTCACAAAGTTAATGAATGCTATCAGGCCCAATCAATCCTAAAAGATAGACACCATACCTTTTTCAAGCTTAGTAAAGATGACTGATAGTGCCCCAACACCTTCCTTTGGGACCTTGTATATCAGTCTTCCACCAAACACTTCAGACTGGGTTGCACCTGGAAGCAGCTCAATGACATAGTTGTGTAACTGCTCCATTGAACCTTCTGGGCATGGACCTGAGGTGTGGGTTTTCTTCAGTTTTAATTCCAAGGTGTAACCACTGCCATAAGTACTCTTTAAATGTTGTGTTGAACCAAGACACCTGAAAACACAAGAAGTTGAGTTATTGTCTATTCTACAGTTGCATGTTTGGTTCCTAAGCCTTTGAGCAGGAGTGAGGCTAAGGTTGACCTTGTTATGATACAAACCTTGCTGCATTTCAAATGTAAATTACTTTGTTATTATGCTAACTAGATACTGGTCTCAATCATAACAAGGTTACTTTCAGCCTCACTCCAGATCAAAGGCTTAGCAACTACGTACACAACTGTAAATGACCTATTATTCAAGAAAAAGGACAAGAGACAACAACTCTTCCTTATAAAAGAAAAGGCATTTGTTTGAAATATAACTTACTTGAGTTGGCCTTTCACCATGATTCCAACTCGTGAACACAAAGCATCAGCCTCCTCCATGGAATGTGTTGTTAGAACAGCCCCTCTCTTTCTGTGGACATTACTGCTGATGGTGTTCCTGATAATGGGCCAGGAATAAAAGCAGTAACTTTGATGTAGCAAACATCTGCATAACTTTGTACATTTATGTGAGTGTATTTAATAATGGTGATATGGCCTCACAGAAACATCCAAAGCAGTGAAAGACACTAACACTTGGACTTAGATATAACAATTTTTTGTGAGAATTGAGGGCTAAAACTAGTTGTTGCCAGAAAGTTGTACATCACAAAACATCAGAAGCTAAAGCAGGTGCAGCAAATGGTTTGTCTTAAGAAACTAAACACATGCAATCAACCCTCTGACCTCTAAGAATGACTTCTATCTAAATTTTTCCTTTCAACACCACCCCTGAATCACATGTTAAGGTCACAAGAAGAAAAGACATGATTACCAGCTAAAGAAGCTCTTGATATAATTTTTAAACAAATTTTTCTTGTCAGCACATTAAGAAATGTACTATATGGAGAATTTCCATATTGATGTTAGGTTGTAAAGGATTAACCCTTTACCCACTGACATCAGTAGGCATATTCTCCATACTTTTCTCTACATATTTCTTAAGGTGTTGACAAGGAGAATTTGTATATCATTCCAGAACTTATTAAGTTAATGATCATTTTCTTTTTTCTCGTGACCCTAATGTTTGACTCAGGGGTGATATTGTCAGGAGAAATTAGATGCTGGTCACTCTTAGGGGTTAAAGGATTAAACATGAAGGATCTAGTACAGTTCAGTCAACTTCTCACCATAAGCAACGTCTGGCAGAAGGGTCCACGCCTTTGGAAGGCTCATCAAGCAGCAACAGCTGTGGATCCCCCAGCATTGCTATGGCAAAACTGGCCTTTGAGAAAAAGGGATAGAGAGAATTAGTATAAATTTACTACCATTCTATAAAAATGCTGCGATCTTTGTTTCTTGATATCCATTGAGCAGAGAAGAAGGGATTTGCTTCATCTTTCTCACTTGCAGAACCAGCATTATGACAACAAGAAGTACCAAACACATTTTCTCCTTTGATCGAGCAACAGTACATTATATTACCAGAAATTAGAATAACTAAAAAACTATCACTTAATTAAGGATATACCTGAACAAAAATTAGTCTAACATACATTTATAAAAAACAATGACCTTTCGTTTTGTTGCTCCTGAAAGATATTGAGTTCTCTTCTTAGCATGTTCAGTAATCCCTAAAGCAGACAAATAGCTAAAATAGATGGAAATATTTATTAGGTCATTAGAGGAAAAGAACCTGAATTAGCTAAGGAATGAATAAGCCTGACAAACTTTTGATTTTAGACTCAAATATTTTTATCCACCATCCTTCCCCCATTCAATTTCCTGTTTGCCTGAGGCCAGTTCAGTTATCAGATAGATTTAAAACCATGCTTACTGCAAGAGTGCACAAATAGCAAAAAATCTAGCTCTGGTTTTGGTTCTTTCTAAACAATACAACAACTGTTACTCAATTGCAAAATGGCTAAAAGCAGACATGCCAGGTACTGGGCATGAGACAGACACAATGAGCCAGTCATTCATGGGTTACCGGTTACCTTGCCACCAGGGAGACTCGCCACCAGCGAACTCGCCACCAAGGAACGATCTCGCCACCAACGTACTCGCCACCAAGCGAAGTCTTCTTGCCACCAACCACCAATAAAGAGATAAACTAGAATAAAGTAGTCGAGGAGAGTAGGATGTTCGAACGAGCACAATTCAAATCGGCCGATACGTTTGTGCGCTTGTCTGTATTTAAATTATGACCTTCAGCAACGTGTTAGATGTGTTCCGTTCCTAACTCATTGACATCAAAACGTATCGCGTTTGCCTTTTGCACTTAAGCGAGGAGAAATTGCAAAACTCGATGCGAGGAATAAAAACTTACTTCGGTTTCGAACGTGCTATCGACAACATACATTTATAAAGTTTGAGTACAGACAAGTGAACAAACTTATCGGTTTTGAACGTGCTTTCGACAACATACGTTTATAAAGTTTGAGTACAGACAAGCCGAACATCCTACTCTCCTCGACTAATCTCTTTATTGGCGGTTGGTGGCGAGAAGACTTCGCTTGGTGGTGAGTACATTGGTGGCGAGATCATTCCTTGGTGGCGAGTTCACTGGTGGCGAGTCTGCTAGGTGGCGAAGTAACTGGATACCCATTCATGAGAAAGCACTCCTACTCTCCTAAGAAAGGGGGCTAACTTAAATTTGCCAATAGCTTAGGGAAGGGAAATGTTGTACTCTTATAAGGCATGAAGGTTTTCCTGAGCTTTTAGTCTCTCAGAAAGATGAACTCACTGCTTAACTACCCGTTTGACCTCCCCCCTTGGCTTGCCACGCATCCTGGCAAAAGCCTCAAGGTGCTCTTGCAATGTTATTTTTGGCAAGAGTACATCTTCCTGTGGGCAAAATCCCATGTGTTGAAATGCCTCATGAGACTGTTTTCTGACATCATAACCTGCTACATAGACCTGGGACAAAGAAGGACAAAACAGGATCTGAGTGTTTAATATATATGAAGGGGCTGATTTGAAAGCAAACTTTACAAACACTTACAGGGACCACAATGTGTTGTAAAACCAGAGCAAAAGTAATCAAAGCAGTTAGTCAAGAGGGTTGGAACAAAGAGCCAAAAAAAGGTCAAAGTAAAAACAAACAAACCACATTTGCTTTTAAGATTTGCATCAGAACATCACAGATCAAGTAGCTTACATCACCTTTCCTCTTGTTGGTGGAATGTCTCCTGTAACCATGTTAAGGGAGGTTGTCTTGCCGGCTCCATTTGGACCAAGAAGTCCAAAAACTTCTCCTTGCTCAACACCAAAGTACAGATCTTTGACAACTGTTTTAGCCTTCTTTCCTGAGCCAAATCTCTTCCATAGTCCCTAAGCAAACATAAATAATACCAAAAGGTTTAACTTTTTCAGTAAAAGTAATTATACTATCAATAATAATGAGTATAAGTCTATCAATTCTTAGTTCTGTAGTGTAATTGTTCTGATAAGGGGAAGCCTCAAAAAGAACCTCTCGGCTGACTTTTATAATAGATCAAAACTGACTGAGTGTCTTGAGTCTTACATTAATCCAAAAACATTGACAAAATATTATAATCAGTTAACATTTTCACTCCACGATCTGATTGTTAATTCTCCTCTTTAGCTGTAACATGTGCATTTCCTTGTAAACTATAGTTATGAGAATTTGGTGTTAGATCAAGATAACAAGTTCTACTTGATAAGTGTGAAAATTCTCGTTACCTGTTGGCCGGATACTTTATGGAGAAGTTGCATCATTGTTATTTACCCCTGGGAGTTACAGGGTAAAATTGCCAAATAGGCTGTATAAAAACCTCGCCAGTCTAAATGCAGCTTTATGGTTAAAGCAGGATAACTCTGACTGGTTGTTTTGCTCTTATGGTCAAATTTAAAAGGATGGACTTTTTGAAAAGATCAGAGTATAAGGTACACTACCATTTCCAAAGAAAACTTCCTCTTTCTCACCTTTACTATTGCAGAAAAGGTGGAGTCTTCTATGGAAACCATGTTTGAGACTTTTTCTTTTTCCCTCCTAACATCCTCATTGGTTGGATCCATTGATTCCTCACTTTCCAGTCGCATGTAACTGAAACTTCTGTCTACATGTGCGTTGTTCTTGTCATTCATGCTAAAGAGGCAAGCAGAACTCTGACTAAAGCACTCCACAACAAACAAGAAAAGGAAAGGGGGGGGGGGGGGCAAGAGAGCATCAACTTGGAAAAGGTCAATAAAATGCATTCTTAACGAACCTAGAGGTATCCAATAATTGAATTCTGAGTTTTGCTCCAAGCTGGGCTCTTTTGTCAAGGAGTATATTACCTCTTACCAAAAGTACACATTTTTACAGCCAACAACTATCATATTAACTGTTACACTTCATTACCTTTTGGAACACTTGCAACTCACAGCACCACCAGTTTTATGTTGGTCCAAGAAATAGATCAGCACAGAAAACAGAATGGTATGAAAAACAGGCTGAGAAATGACAAAATAGAAGAGACATCAGTTATTACAATGCAAGACATAATGATCAAAACTTCATGTCAAATGCATGTAACCGAAATTCAAATGTTAAGCCATCCCTCTTTCTTTCACCTGGCCCCTATGTAGAACTTTGAGTCCCTCAGCCAAAAGCTCCAAATTGAAAATGAGAGGCCTGCCTGGCCAAAAAAAAAAGGGGGGGGAGAATAAAAATGCAGCTGTGGAAATTTTCTTATTGTAAATAAATTAAGTATTATCAACATTTAGGCTGAGTTGTGTTTCAGTTCAAATCGTACTTAACATGTACCACCTTAGCGCTAGTCTCAGTTTCCATTTTTAAGATGGTAATAAAATGCATTCTGTATAAATTATGAAGTATTCATTACAGCTGGGCTGGAAATCAGAAGAAAGACATTGAGTCATATTTTGATTTTCTATGATTTTTTAAACAATTCCCTCAACCCCCCTCCCTCCTCACAAATCAGCAACTGATCTGAATGCCCAGGAAATAAATATGACCACACCCATCCCTCCTCAAGGCATCTTTTTAGTATTCAACATAAAGCACAATGCTGTAGTGGTAATGCAGTTGAGCAATGGCCACAGCACAGTGCTAATAGGCCCTTCTAAAGCACGTCTGGTAATTATGATTCTCAGAGTGCATGTCTTGAATAACATGGCTGAGTAATGAATGAATTGAGCAAGAACATACAGCAATCAATGCGGCTGGGATGCCATTGTATTTGGTCCACTTGAAGTAGTTGCTTGCAGTGACTTCTACGTCAACAGATTGACCACCAGCTCTAAATGCTGCTATAATGGACTCATACCTGTACACCTGTAAAACATAGTGAGACATATAAAGGAAGCCCTTTACCAAGTAAGTCTTTACTTCAAAGGTAGCATATAACAGAGAGAGTGAAAAGTTAGCAAGTGAGCCAAGTAGCCCATGCAGCCCAAGCTTATCTGGGTTTCCTTATCATGAAACAACTAGGAGTATTACTACTCCCCTCTAGATGAGATGCCAGTCCATCACTAGGTTACCTGCCAGCACTTCATCACGCTTCCCAGACAATTTGCTGGTTCCCATTTGTACTCCTGGGTGGAGAGGCCCTGTGAAAGTTAGTGACTAACTAAAGTGTTTTTCATAAGAACACAACACAATGACCCATTCAGGTCTCAAACCCAGACCTGTTGAGCAGTAGTCCAGTGCAATGACCAATAATAAGGCCTTTGCATCATCCACTGAGAGAATAGAGGTAAAGAACTGAACTTCATACCGAAAATTTCATCAAGCTTACCAGAGATCAGATAAAATTGTGGCTGAAAATCTCTTAGTACATTTGAGGAAGATTTGTATTTATACTCACACTGTCAATGTAATACAAAGCTCCAAATACTTGATATGGAGGCAACAGGAATACAAACACGTAATGAAGAACAATGGCAGTATCTCGGCTTACAAGCGTATCCACCAAAGATACAGTCAAGTATGGAATTATTCCGGTCTAAAGAAAAAATTAAATAAATAAAGAGAAACATTACTATGGAACAACAACAACAAAAAAGCCACTGCCAAATTCAGAGGGGCAATTACACTCAGTGGATAGATGCCTCTTGATATGGTGTGCACTTTCTTATGTGTCACACCCATGTTCTTATACGACAAAACTAACCTACTTGTATTTCATACTAAAAAGTGCAACAATTTCACAGACATGCATGAAAAGAACTAAGCCTCCCTGGACTTCTTTTGCTACTGCTTTCATAAGGTGTAGGTAATAAGAATAATAATATTTAACCCATTAACTCCATAAGTGATTAACATGTAACTTCTCCCTATAACATCCACACATTATCCAGCCAACATTTAATGAGAACACTCAAACTTATCAGGTAGGAGCTAGTAGTCTTGATCTAACACCAAATTCTTTTGACTTATTTACAAGGAAATGTATAGCAGCTTGAGGGAAGAATTAACAATCAGATCTTGGGGGTTAAAGGGTTAAGAGTAATGAGGGATTTCTATAGCCATATTTTGCAGGGTACTTTGGCCAAACTGCATTGAGCTGGTCAACAATTAATGTGTGAAGAATATTTTTGCAGAAACCCCTGATTTCAGAATCAAAGCCAGACCACAACATTGGAAGTCAGGATCGAGGTAAGAAGCCTACTCTGAAACCTGAGGCTTGAACCTTCAACCTCCAGCATGGCAGTTGGGCACTCTACAACCTGAACCAACAAGACAGCAAGCAAGGGAGCACATACCCCCATTTCCAAAATAAGCTTGTGTAGATAACCTGCACATATGATTTGCTCCATTGTGCCTGCTTGCAAAGCCACCCTTATAAGCCCAAATGAAACAGTCCTGATAGTTGATGATAGTTTCAACTATCATGCACTATTATCAGCTATCATCAACTATTATTTAGTTTGGAAATTTTCAAATTCAACATGATAACTGATGATAGTTTTAGCTGTTTGAACCAGCAGATGATAGTGAACGATAGCTTTTTGGTCCATAGTTTTGCCAAAAGCCAGCTCAAATCAAAATGGCAAATGGTAAAATGACTAAAGTGCCAACAAAATTTTGCAGAATATCTTGCTACTCATTCTATTCATCTCCTGATAGGCTTTAATTAGTATCTTCAACTTGCTACTTCTTGACTAAATTTTCATATGCTGCCAAAATTGCTGACCTTTAAGTGCATGCTATACTTATTTACAATTGTGCAATCTCATTACATGATTTTTTAACCATTATCAACTTTAACAATGAACCATTTGAAATACAAACATGACAGACAATGATAGTGAACAAATGTTGAAACCATCATCAACTATCATTAACTATCATGGCCATATTTGAATGGGGCTTTACAATGAATGACCATTAATTATCATCATACTTACAAGGTCGAACACACTTGGCAAAACTTGCTTGGAGGAATCCCTTGAATTGCACATAAAGGACATGAGATACGAAAACAATATCCCAGCAGGTATGTACAGAAGGGTTGCAATCATTACACAGCCCATAGCAGGGAGAGGAGACAGTGAGGGCGGCTGTAAGACTGGTATAAGTGTCAACAACAGTATCACTGGAATCGATGCTACAATGCCATCAGAGATAAGACGCTCCAGCCAATACACAAAGGATGATACTCCAGACACCCTCAGTAAATGGCGCATCTTCATCTGTGATAGAAGTAACATTGAGTTTTTACCACACTGTAAGTGTTGTGATTAAAAAGGTGACAATAGGCCTATCTTTAAATTGGAATCTTTTCAAACTCTCTGTGTGGTGAAATTCTCTTTTTCCTCAAATTTATTCAACCTTTAGAATAACTATTAATCACACCACAGATGAGTACCAGAATTTTCCACAGAGAGCAAACAAAAGCAACTTGGAATGACATTGGTTTTTTAGTTTACTATCTTCTATGACTGGTCTAGAATACTGTTGTCACCTTTTCAGAAATCAAATGCAAAACCAAAATAACTTGTAATACTAACTTTCCAATTGTTTGCTGAATTTTCTTATGATTCACACTGGCATTAAAGGTTTTTACTTTAAAATCTAATGAATACTTGTGATATTTATCCTTGTTTTGATTGGCTGATAAAATAGCCTTGGTTTTGTCTGGCGACAATCATTCAAAAACAGCTTTATCACAAAGAGCCAAACACACCGAAACCTTCATCCATTTCTTTATTCTCACCTGCCGTTCTGCTACAATCAGAACTCCAAGGTCACCTAGAATAGTGCCGAAAGCTTTTCCAATGAGAAAGAATGACGAAAGTACTACAATGTTGAAAGTCCACTGAGGTTTTACGTCAGGGAAGGCAAGAATGGTTGACTCCAGTGGATAAGGTGCTTTTTTTTGTTTTTTTAGAGCACTCATGTGCAAGATAGATCCCAATATGTTGATGCCAACAGGTACACTATGTACAGCTGTGTCGTTGTATCGCATCTCAAAGCTTGATGAAAGATCCTAAAAGGCAATGCTAACTTGTCTCACAGTGTACATTTGTGTTGAGTGACACACTGAAAAGAGCCTGACAGAAACTTTCTCTTAATTTCAACCTCTTAAGAATGAAAGGCTTCTAATTTCTCTCTACAGTATTACCCTTGAATCAAATGCAAAGGTCATGAGGCTAAAGGAAATAATCACCAATTTAAGATGTTTCCAATTGTCAAACAAAATCTCCTTGTCTGACCCTTGCAAACTGAATTCCCAGTTTTCTGGGAATTCCTAGGAATTCTCAAAAATTCCCAATTATGCAAATGACCCTTGCAAACTGAATTCCCAGTTTTCTGGGAATTTCTGGGAATTCCTAGGAATTCTCAAAAATTCCCAACTATGCAAATTAACAGATAAAAATCTGATTTAAAAAGCTTGGAATTACTGGGAATTTCTGGGAAAGGAAGACTCCAGTTTTGTGAGGACTTGGAATCCCTAGGAATTCCTAGGAATTCTCAGCTTTACAAACTACCTATAATTTAAGAAGTGTGGAACTCTTGGGAATTTCTGGGAATTGAATTTGAGGCAATTTTAATACCCTGAGGTCCACATAAATTCTAAGAAATTCTCAATACCTTGAATGTGAAGGTTTTAAGAAAAAGAGTAATTTCAGAGGCTTAAAACTTGGGCTCAATAAAGGGTATGCTATGCAAAACTTACCAAGAGATATAAATACATGTACATGTTTATAACTTAAAGATCATGAAATTTATTACTCAAACTAAGTTTTAGTAAATCTTTACATTAATATGGATTTTCTCATGAACCAGCTGTCAGTTATGTTAAATGGAAATTGCCAACTTCCACAATAATTAACAATAATTACATTGTTATCTTACTTCCCTAACCTACATTACTGGTTGCCTTTGTTAGAAAACCTTGGAACAGTCAAGCTCAGTTGCCTCCTTTTAGTAGAAATTTTATGCCTTAGACAAACAAATTCAACACCTAATTAATCTTTCTTTTTTCATGATTGTTGTTGCTGCTTTTTTTTTTCAGTTTTTTGCTCTATTTTCATGACTAATTGCTGTAATTTGTTTTGCTGTTTTTATTCTTACAAAACATTTTTGTAAGAATTCCAATCGATTCCAATGGATCATCCACACACTTTGCAAACATTTGGCATGCAGACAAGACAGAGGTAGTCAATGTTCTCTTTGAGGAAAACACCTTTTATATGACATCTTCAATTTACTTTATTTGAAACTCTGATCTGAAAATATTTGTCAATAAGACTTGTTAGTAGTGAGAAGTACCAACCAAGTTTCCTTTCATAACTTAATTTCTTAAATGTCCCAATCACTGGATCTCCCAAAAAATATTACATCTTTTTATTTTTGGTGCAAATTACAAGTCCTTCTTTATATAAAAATGAAAAGTACTAGTCACACTTCAATAATAACAGCTCTTAAGTTTACTTGTTGTTCTTCTCTGTCTGTCAGCTATCAACAAAATTGTTTTGTACTTCGGGCAGTGCATAACTATTTGTGGATCAGGGTTCCAACACACCTCTGTAATCGCATATAGCTACTTCTGTCTCTTGTACAAATGTTTCTCCTTTGTAAGACGCACTCTACTCTGTTGTCAATACTGCTTTAAGTTCAGTGGAAACGACTGACTCAGAGGAATCGAGATGGCGGTGTTGGAACGTGTTGCTGAACGCTTGCTACGGTCAAGCTTTGTAGATTTAGGTACTGGTACACTGGGATCATCTATGTATCTCTTATACTTCCGAATGTGGTATCCTTCTTTTATAAACATGAGGGTAAAAGACGATTTGTAGTCGCATTCAAAACTGTGATTGGCTTGTGTTATTTCTCACCTTTGCCATTAACACAACTCAAGTGAGTTTCGAGTCTTTGTTTCCTCGACAACTTTCGGCCACAAATCGTGCATTTGTAATACGATCGATTCTTGTCGATTATTTCTACATAGAGTGAGCTCACATCTTTATTTATATCACCAAGCTATCCATCTTCTAAGGGCAGTTAACCGGTCGGAGAAGTCAGAATAAAGTTGGGCGCTTCTCTTAACACTGCAATCGGCAAGCCAGCGGATTCACTTTGCTAGCCAATGACAAGTCCTAAAAGATCCACGTGATCGGAAACAAAGAAGACTCCATTTGGCGCTCATCTTTGAATGTACTTTTCATCGGTTGATCGCTTTTCTCAACTGTTTTGCTTAATATAACATTTCTAAAGATAGCTTTTATTGTGGTTTAATGGGAAAACGAGAACAGCGTGAGTGTTGTTAAAGAAAAGAAAGTCGTTGGCGCCGTGGAGTTAAAAGAAGGGACAACAGTTGACATATTGACTGGTACAAACAAGGGTCGAGTGGCCATCTGTTAAGCAACGATTTTGAAAGTTTGTGGTGAGTAAAAATTGCGATATTCGTTACGTGATCAAAATCTTATAAAAGAATAGATGTAGCGGGTTGAATTAAGCTTACATAACGCTCGGCGCAACTGAAACTAGACTAATTCTGAGAATCGAATCGGTCACTTGCATGCCTCAGTTTCTTAAGCTTATGCTTTACAATGAAATAAACCTATCAGTAAGGTTTCAAGATTCCTCTAGTCACGTTTGGGAACATTCAAGATTCATAATAGGAACTGTTATTAAACAAACCTTAGTACATAAAGAAGCCCTCCTTGGTAAAAACAAAATAATGTATTCAGCCCTTTTTTAGTAAAATCCATGAGAGAGATGTACTAACTCCTATATAAAAGTCACTGAATATAACAGAGATTTCTCAATTTGAGAATCCAATGAATGCCCTTTTCCTCACAGCCATCTTAAAAGCCTGGTCTGAGCTTTAAATATACATATTTTAATATATTTTTTTTTTTCAAATTCAGATGTCAAGGAATCCAGATACAAAATGGTCAAGGTTCTTGTTGACAACCTCATTCAAGGCCAACTCATTGTGAGCCCAGGAAAAAAAATACAAACAGTACAAACAGCAGCTAAGTTTGCAGTTCAGGATAACTTCATTCTAATTTATTGTTACAGTTACAACAAGATTTTAATCAAAAAATCAATTTTATTTGTCTATAATTAGCCCCTTCACTCCCAAGAGTGCTTGGTTTTCAAATATAACTTAAGATATTGTATTTTATGGAAAAGAATCAACAGATTTTATTCACAATTTGTGTCAAACCAAATTTAATGATTGATTAGAACTATTTTATATGAATAGCTGTAATTGAGGATTAATCCATATGAAGTTTTCAAGAAAAGAAAAATAAATCAAATTCCATCCTAATATTACTACACATTGATGTTAATAATAATTAATCAAAAATATTTTACATGTAAGCCTTAATTAAGCTCCTAAATAAATTTCATTGAATACTTGAATTTTAGCTGGGTTTTTTTAATTTATAGTATCTATTTTATATCATTAGCCTCATATTTTTGCTTAAAATTCCCAGTAATTCTTAAACATTCCTAAAAATTCCCAAAAATTCCCAGAAATTCCTAGGAATTTTTTAGATTTACAGCTTTTCAAGGAAAGTCATTGGTTCTCTGAGTTGGAATTCCTAGGAATTCCAAGTCCTGTTGGCTATAAACTTGGAATTTCTGGGAATTTCTAGGAATTTCTAGGTTTTTAGAACCAGAGTTGTTATGGTTGGGAATTCCTAGGAATTCCTAGGAATTCCCAGGAATTCCCAGTCCAAATTTACCATGAAAATTCACACCTTTATTCCTAGGAATTCCTAGGAATTCCAAAAGCCATTTCGCAAGGGCAGTACCATTGATAGCAAACATAAAGAGAAAAGTGGGGGAAATAAACAACTAATGCTCTTGTTGTATTTTAATTCAGGCAAAAATACTATTACTTACGCTGGACGACGACAAATTGTCTGTAGGAAACTTGAGAATGTCAAATCCCAGATTGTACAGATCACTTGATGAGTTGCTCAATATGCTACTCATAGAGGACACCAACAAGGTGCCAACACTATAATCACTCAGGTATTTCATAACATGGTCCATGGCCTCTTTGGTTGAGTTCTGGAGAAGAGCAAAGGAGGCATAACCCTTTTTACTTCCAGGTTTCAGATACATCTTAGGTGTCAGTTTCAAACCAATTGCTGATTGGCTGTCATTCTTGGCTACACGTAAAAGTGAAAGACCAACAAATATCAAAAATAGCAGAATAATAATTTTGAAAAGTGATGTGGCTGGTGAACGGATTAACATTAACCAGTGAATCTGAAAAGAAACAGAAAAGTAAAGCTCATTAATTTCAGCCATGGTATAAATGCAAACCCAGACAAAAAAAGTTTTACTTTTACAACATCCAATGGAAATCTGCTCTAGTTTGTCTTGAGAAGTAACATACCCGCATTAATCCTAAGACTTGTTGTTTTGCCTTCCAGACTGGTTTCTGTGAATCAGCCATCAGTTCTGGATTATTCAGTTCCACCCCTGTGTTATTTGGGGCATCAACAAACCCAGAAATTCTACAGCCTCTGTCTTCAATGTTCATGGCATCTGAAGGTGCCAACAGATTTGCATCACTTTGTTCAAACTTGCATAAAGAGATAGAAAAGAAAGGACATCAAATGGGGTTACTTTAAGGTAAAGGCAGATAATTTTCAGTTACAATAGCACAAATATGGTGGTACACTCAATTAAATTCCATTTTCTAAAGCATATTGCTGTGGCACCATTATCAATTTAGTTGATAATCCTAAATTACTAGCTAATCATATCAGCATGCCCCACCCCATTGTTAGAGTATTAATTTCCAATTTTAAACTCAAGGATTTCGTACTGTTTCTCGTGCATCATCTGTTGATATTTTACTCTCTTCAGAGGTGCCCTCTAGTTGAAGAAATACTTCTTCTAGAGTTGTCATGGAAACACCATAACTTGTCACGCCTAATAAGGGGGCGGCACAGCCTTCTGAACTGTCATTGTTGTCCTCAAGTGCCTTGAGTAGATCTGAAATGTATGTACTTGAAAATTGAGTGATTATATATTAATAGGAGATGTCCTTAGAGAAAAATTTTTCATAGGCAGACATCCCTAAGGATGATCATGACAAATATACACCACTTGAATGAGTATTACAGTCAACAACATCGCAGGCAAACTGACCAATTAGTTTAAAAAAACTGCAGTTAACCCTTTACACCAAAACATCAGTATGCATATTCTCCATACTGTTCTCCATACATTCCCTGATGTGCTGGCAAGGAGAATTTGTTTAACAATCAAAAGCTTCTTCATTTGATTATTATTTTCTATATTCTCATGACCTGAATGTTTGATTCATGGGTGATATCAGGAGGAGAAATTAGGTCCGAGCTACCATCACCTAGATGATCAGATTACGTGATCAGACAGACAGCTTTCTGGTTACAATTATTGATAGTGATTAATTTTGGTGTTGGTAATTGCCTGATAGAAGTGTCTGTTAACCTTTTGACCCCTTGGAGTGACTAGCAGCTAATTTCTCCTTATAATATCAACACCAAAAATGAATAAAGGTCATGAGAACAAAGGAAATGATCACCAACTAAAGAACGTCTTAATTGTTAAACAAATGCTCCTTGTCAGCACCTTAGGAAAAGTATGGAAAACAGTGTGGAGATTATGCATACTGATGTTAGGGTGTTAAGGGTTAACAACTGGTTCATCTCAAATTAAACATGGGAGGAAAATTAATTCACAGCTGAGTTGAGCCAAGTCATAATGTTTATTACAAGAAAAATACCACCAAGGTAACTTGTAGTTGGCCATTTTACAAGGCAGTTAATTGTTCATTAAATTTACCTGGAAAACATGATACTTTTTCCACAGGAAGGGAAAATGCCATTTCTTTGCCATGGTGACGGATAGCTTCTGCACCTTCCACTTTGCTTTGAACAAGCTCAATTAATGGCTGAGTGTCACAATTCTCTGCTAGAGCCATACTGAAGGGAAAAAATATTGTTAATTGAAGAGTGCCTTGCAATTGCCATAAAAAAAAAACCAGTCGAGTAAAAGTAACCATGACAGTCAATCAGAAAAAAAGAATATATCAAGGGTCAAAAAGAACTCAAAGTAAAAACTAGCAAACCACATAAAGTGCAGGAAAATATGAAAGATCAAGTCCAAATTGACTTAAACCTATAACTCCCAAGAGTGACTGAGACAGAATTGCCCCTAACAATATCAAGAAAACAAGTGACAAGAATAAAGAAGAATTAAGGAAGAATTTACCAAATACTCCAAAACAAACACTGTAGACAGTAAGGAGAATTACTGAAAATGAGATCTTGGGAGTAAAATGGTTAAAAAACTACAGGCTGAAAGAAATTATGATATAAACTTCTGGCCAATACTTACTTCAAATGATATCCAATTCCGAAGCGATTCTTGAGAAAAAGCGAGCTTCCTGAACAGCGCACTCTTCCTTTGGATAAAATAACCTTGTAATCTGGGAGTATAGAAACATAACCATTCAATAGACAATACCATCCTGATTTAAAAATTCACAAGAAATTTTCTTCCCCACATTTTAAACAATTTGTGATCCTGTAGGGAACCATTATGATATGAAAAAGAGGGAGGGCTTTGTGAAAGCTGAAGAGTGTTCAGCGAAAAAAGCCCAAAGTAACCAATTAACAGCCAATCAGAGCAGAGATATGAAACACAAATTAGTTACTAGTTACAGTCAGAAATCAGTTGATAATCATATCATTTATTTACCTGCTAAAATGTCAGCCTCGTCCATAAAATGTGTTGTAAGGAGAACCACTCGGTTTTTACACTTCTCTTTCAACAAGGACCATATGAGTCGTCGTGCATATGGATCCATTCCACTTGTTGGTTCATCTAAAATGATCACCTTTAATTTGAACACAATTATTAAATCCTTTTGATCATTAACTGGGAAACTAAGTTGAACAAGTTGCTAACACTGGTGCACTTGACTCTTGGCCAAGAACTCTAATTCCAAGCCTGGACCCACAAGGGTTACTGAGTTGAAGGCTCTTCAGGTTACCACCACCAGTAACTCTGAAGTTGCCTTTCTCCCTTTGGGGGTTAAAATTTCTTGCACAAAGGGGTTCACCTTTCACTCTCAGGAGAGATGGAGACAAAATTTCTTGAAACAACATCACTATATTTCCAAGCAGAAGGTAAGGACAAGGAAGAAAAATAACAGCTACTGTCAACATGTCGTTTGAATTTAAGTTAACCCATTGACACCTGAACCGCCCGTAACCGCCCGTGCCGCGTGGGGGACTTGCGCGAGAGACGCTTTCCCCCCTATCTCCCCTACTAAGCAGAATTTTGTCTCCAAACTTCCTCTGTTGTTAGAGGATCTATAAACCAATCAGAATCCGTTTTTTACGCAGTTATTTTGATAACTTTAGGGGGTAGTACAGAGGCGTCATTTTATGCGTTCACAATAAATGATCAACTACAAAGAAATGGCGTACGCGCGGCCGACTTCAATATTTTCAAGTCGGATTTTCTGTTCCTTTCCCACCATTTTAGACCTTCTGGAACACAAAATGAAAAGGAAAAATGCTATAGAATAATCTGCTCGAAAGATAATGGACATCACGGTCTTAAAGGCGACAAAATAAGCTTTCGAGTCGACAACACTACAATTCTCTAAAGCGATGCGAATTAGGGTCGTAAAGCGAAAACCAAACTATCGGACTTCAAGCGAGGCCTAGAGACATTAAGAAGATTCAAAGGCACGGTAAATATCACGTTTGAGTAATGAGAGGTCCAAAAAGTATTGTTTAATAGAAGATTTTGTGTTAAAACGTAGAACTTTCAGTATTTTCAACACAACGCTGCGCAATATTCTAGCCGTGAAGTCAAGTAAACATCGATCTAAGCATGATGAATTCTACTTCGTGGGTTTCGCACACGTAAGAAATTCGTACGTTTTTCGGTTCTAACAGAAAATCAAGAACTGTTTTGAATAAAGCTTTCTTCCCGAAACGTTCCTTGGTCAGTTTTGTCTTTCTCCTCATTGACAATTTCCATGTAACATGAGATCTCTCCACACACTGATGAATTTGCATATTCACTTTGAAATCCGATCCGCATACTTTTTTTGCACACGTGCGCAAAAATTTACTGATTTTTATCTTTTATCTTGATTTTAGAGTAAAAACTTAATATGCATCTATTGCTTTCCTCGTTGATAGTTAGTTATTTAAATGGTCTTCTTTCACGTGAGCTTGTATTTGGGAAAAAAAGATTTGTCAAACTTTACTGCGCATTGTGTTTACTTTTCCGGTTTCTCCAAAATTTTAACTTTTGGGTAGGCACGTGTTACACGTAGGAGTCAATGGGTTAAACACTAAATACATGGGACTAAAATGATCAGAAATATAAGGCAGACAGCTAGGAAAGAAAGTTGAAATTGTGATTTTCATCTAATGAAAAAGTCAACAGGGGTTGGGTTGTAGAAATTAAATGATATTTGGTTTTAATTTTCTCATAACAATTACAAGTTAACAAATACAGGTATATACCTTT